GGATAGAGACAGCAATGGGAGGGTGCCCCTCAGCTCTCCAATTTCATTACACATGTGATTTTGCTGCAGTTTTCCATGGGTTTTGTCATTACCCCATTGATCAGAAGAAGGCTGAAAAATGGAACCTAGCTTTGTATTTTATGGGACTATAGCTGAGTCCTAGTGACCAATGTGTAAGCCAGGTCTTATAAGAGAGATTCCCAAAGCAAGTTAGGTTAACTGCAGAGTTGAGTCTGCTCTCCAGAGTATACCCTTCCAGTGATGCAGCTGAAACCATAAGCCTAGAGTATTTGTGGCATGGAGAGAAGAATAACAGTACCTTACTTAATCCTGCCTGCATTGGCTTCCTCACCTCCCTGGTTAGGGGTAAAAAGGTAGCTGCCAGAATAGCCATACTGGCATTTTATGAGCCCATTACCATTCCTGAGCTACTTCTGATTAGCTCTGCCATAGCTTCAGGATATTGCTGTACCCGGGAGAATAGTTTCTACATAGATCACTCAAAGCTTGTTATCCCTTTAGGGTCTGGCCAGTTGTCAATGGAAGGAGTTTGTTTACTCCCACTGATAAAAGGTAGCCACATAATCGATAGGGCATTTGGAGTAAATATATTCTTGCCCATAAAACTGATTTTGAGCCAGTTGTATATATATACTTTGGGGTAATGAGTAAAACATACCTGGAGAGGGAGCTCTTCTTATCACTTTATAATGATCTTGAAAAGCCTAGTGTAGGGCATGTTAGCAAGGGATAGCCAAAGAAATCCATCGAACCCCTTCCAAAATTACATGATATTACTTTCCTTGTGTATTTTTTCTCTTTTTGAAAATTTCATAAGTAATATGTGAATGCATTCTTATATAAGATTTAAATAATAAAATACATATAGAACTCCTATGCAAATTTCCCTTCAGTTCCCATCTGTACTTCCAACACACAAACACTTTTGTGCTCCCAGTCCCTATAGTTGTCCACTGTCAATAATATGGGCTGCATCTTTCTAGTCCTCTTTTCCTGTATTTATAAAACCGTAATAACTTTTAATATGAATTAGCTTATGGGTTAGCTTGTATATGTATAAATAAATAGAGATACTAAATGTTCTACTACTTAATTTGTTCACTGATATAACTACATCCTTAGTGACAGACACTTAGATTGTTTCTAGTGCTTTGCTTTGTTATGTGTTTGTGGTACTGGGAATCAAACCCAGGGCCTCATGCATGCAAGGCAAGCACTCTATCACTGAGGTACATCCCTAGCCCTAGTGCTTTGCTATTACATATATCGTTCATATATCTTTGTGCATGTGAGCAAGTAATCTTTAGGGAAGATTTATAGAAATGGAAATTGCTGAACAAAGAATGTAAGTGTTTCAAATTTTGAAGGTTATTCCTATATAGCCTTCTACAATTTATATACCCATGAAAATCCATGAGAATGCCTAGTTCCTTATGTCCTTTCAATTATTCCTTAATATTATTCATGTCTTCTTAAAACTATGATTGAAAACTTCCTTTATGTAATTACTACTCTTAGGAGCCTTATAGCTTACTAAGAGTATCTTCCTGTGGGCTGGGGTTTCTCATCTTTTCGTTTTTGAGTGGATAGATTTAGAATGTTGACAAGTAGTTTGCGTATTTTGGAACCCTTAAGGAGAATGAACATGTCTAAGTGCTTATTAAATTTCACTGATTTGGTATTTTTGTTTGTACCGGGTACTGTGCTAAGAGCTGTCACTGATTTGGTATTTTTGTTTGTACCGGGTACTGTGCTAAGAGCTTTAGTTACACGTACCTTTTAATTCTTATATTAGTACAGATTATCCCAAAACTTGATGCCTTAAAACAATAAATATTTATTATTTCAATTTCTGTAGGTCAGGAATTGGGGAGCAGCTTAGCAGAGTGATTCTGACTAGCATCTCTAAAATTACAAGATATGAGCCAGAGCTTCATCATCTGAAGGCTTGAAGGGCTGCAGTGTCTTTACCCACATAATTTAGCAAGAGATTTCACTTCCAACATGGTTTCTCCAACCTGTGCCTGTTTGAGTGTCCTCACAGCGTGGCAGCTAATTTCCCCAGAGTGAGTGATCCAGGAGGCAGACCACAAAGTAGAAGTTATAGTTTCTTTTATCTATGACCTAATTTCCAAAGTTACCAATTGTCACTTCCTTTTTATTCTTTTCAGTGGAAGCAATTCACTTAAGTCCAGGCCACACACAAGGGGAAGGGACTTAGGTTTCACCTCTTGAAGGGAAGATCATCAAAGAATTTGTAGATATATTTTAAATCCATCATATATCCTTCTGAGGTGGTCGTTAAGAGTTGTTGTTGTTGTTGTTATACCCACTATATTGGTGAGAAAAATAAATGCAATACTTAGTAAGTCTTATCTTGTTCTTCCTGGCCTCTCCCTTTACTTTGCTTGGACTAGGCATGTCATTGCCCATGCAGACACTTGAGTGTTCATTCTCAGCCATTCATTCAGTAAAATGCTTATTGAATTTCTGTCTTTGTGGCAGACATGTTGAGGAAAGTAAAAAAGACTGGGTGGGGTGTGTGTGCATGCGTGTCTGTGTGTCTGGGTCTGTGTTTTGTGGTATTAGGGATTGAATCCAGGGCCTCGTGTTTGTTAGGCAACTACTTTATCACCTCAGCCATGCCCCCAGTCCAGACATGCTCTTTGATCACATGGAGCTTACAGTCTTGTGAAGGAGAGAAACGTTAACCAAGTAATCGTACAAATTAGTAAATCATTGTCACTTTGAGAAATGCTATGAAGGAAAAGTACTTCTGAGCCTACTCATGCTGTTGTTCTCTACCCATTTCCATGCCATCTTCACCCTTTAACCCAGAAAGAACGCCTGCTTTATTTTTGTAATAAGACTTAACTTTTCCATCAGAGTCTAAATTGAGTCCTACATCAATAAAGCCTATCTCTTTCCACCTGCACTAATACAGTTTTTTCAGAACTTTATCTAGTATCATATTTAATGCTTATTCATTTCTAGAATGTGCACATACTGTCTCAGCTTCTTGAGGTGAGAGATCTAGTTTTCCTTCACTCCTTTCTCCTCCTCACCCCTTACATCCAGTCCCAGCAACTCATGTCACCTTGACTTCTACGACGTCTGTAGCTACTGACATTCAAACCATTATTACCTCTTACCTGGACTACACATACTGCCTTCCTTCTGATGTCTCTGTTCCACAGAACCACCATAGTAATCTTGCTACAAGCTATCTCCAGTCATGTAATTATCCTGCTTACACACACCCCTTCCCATCACAGCGCAAATACAATCCATGTCTTTGTTCTGAATTACAAAGTCTTGCCAGTTTTGACCCTTTCCTGCATTTCTGGCCTCATCCCCTTGCCTCATCTCTATCTCTCAACTCACACATTGTGTGGTCCTGCCACCTGTTTTTCTATTCTTTAAATATGCAACCTCTTTCAGTAATGAGGTATTTGGCCTAGCAATTCCCTACATTCTCTAAAGTAAACTTTCTCCAATCTTGTATGATTAATTCCTCCCTTTTATTTAGAGCTCAATTTAAATTTCATCCCTTTATAGAGGTCTTCTTGGACCTTCTGATCCAAAGTCACTCTTATCATCACCCATTTTAATGTTCTTCTAATGCTTCCCACCATCTGATATTTTTATGTAAAAATTTCTGCTTACACTGAAATATATATACCATGCAATCCCTGACATCTCTGTTCACCAATGGTATATTATAGGGCTCAGTAAATATTTGTTGTGTGAATGAAAGAGTGAGAGAAAAGCAAGAAAATGAAGGAGAATGGTCGTAAGCCTTTAAATTTACCCCTCCTAAAGGGAAAGAAGAAAATGAGAAACTGATGTCCCCAGTTCTCAGGTTCTTCATCGGACTCCCTTGTGTCCAGACCAAGCTGCTGTTCAAGAGCTATATTTAAATTCTTTGCATAGCACTCAATGCCATCTGATTCTTTCTGTTTGTTTTTCTGTCACCTTCTCCTAGTAAGAGCATGGTCTCTCATAACTTGTTTGCCCTGTCTCCTCAGCACCTATAACAGTGATTGGCACAGAGAAGATGCCAAACACTTGAAGAAATGATAGAGAATCTGGTTCTGCTTTCTCTGCTATCCTCCTGGTGCCTACCACAATGAAGTGCCCAGAAACTTTGGTGATTACTCTGTGAGGCCACTCAGTATTGCTATTGGTAGATCCTAGAATTTGGAATAGGAAAGCAGTTTGGAACCAAGACTCTGAAAAGTGTTTTGAGCCATACTGCTGGGCTTGTTAGAATGTGATCTCTGTAGCCTAAAATTGAATGTTATATAGGTTCCCCCAATCCCCATTCAAGATAGAAGTCCAGCTATTTAGAATTCTATCCCTAAGTAGCAAAAGGGAAGCCACATTTTATTTTTATTCAGTTCCTGTATTTTAATACATTCATTGCATCAGTCAGTAGGGTAGTGGGTATTTATTGAGCCCCTTCAGGGTACAAAGTAATGCTTTGGTTGAGCTATTGAGTTTGAAATATTAATCACATTATTAAACCAAAACCAAATCCCCAAGTAGTTGAAAGTGCTATTCAAGTTCCTGTAGACCGTATTTTGTGATGATGGGCTTTTACTTTATAATATATGTTCCCACTTGCACAGGAAAAAAAGTTCAGTTAAATAACTAAGGTGTTATATTTTACCAAAATGAAGTCTTGAGGTGGTCCTTGATCATTAGCTTTTTCCTGTCCAACTGTTGAAGGATTGTGTGGTAATCACTGCATCTTTTGGGTAATTTAAGATTTTAGAACTTGTAGCTACCAGGACTAGGTAAAGAATGCTTTCCTTTCCCTCTTTGGCACTAGTTTAAATTGGGCAGAGAAAGATGGTAGTTCTTCAACTTCTGCGAGTTATTACAGGAGTCATCCTTGATGTCATCCACGATAGAGTTAGTGAAGGAAGCATCCATTCTACAAATTGTGTTTCCATTGTTACTCTTTGTCCTTTCAGATTTCTCTGTTAACTTCAGCAGTAAACCACATCAAAGCCAATGTTAAGTCAGCTGCAGACTTAATTAGCCTGCCTACTACTGTAGAGGGACTTCAGAAGGTAAGTGCTAAATATGGGTACTAAGATTAACCTACTTCTGGAGTTCTAGCTACTTATAAGCTTTCTTTGAAAGCCTGACATTTGAAATCACCTACTCTGAGAAACTAATAAAATTGTGTTATAGAGAGCTCAGAAAAACTTTGTTGTCTGGTTAGTTGGGCCTTACATTTTCAAAAGCTTACTTTAACTATGTTTTTTATGGATTCATGCCATTTTATTTGTCTCTGTGAGTTCCATAATCCCAGCATGCTCTTCTGGGATTCTTATGTTAGCATATATGGGTATACTTTTCAACACTTGTCTTTTCAAATTGTCTTTCACAATATCTTCGTGAAAGTAGATCAGTTGTACATGAGAGTTATTCAGTCTCTACTGTTTTCTATGATTGAGAAAAATTTGATTTTTTTATAAGATTATCTAAGGGAAATGCAGAAATTAAAAATTTAGGGAAGAAGTATTGTCAAGGATGTGAGCAAAGGATACTGTCAGACATTCATAGTGGGAGTATGAATTGTAAGAAAAAAAAAATCACTTTGGAAAACAATATTATTTTGTAAAGGTAAACTTGTATGTTTTCTAAGTTCTTCATTCATAGATATATACCCTGTATTCTAGGGCCTAGGCAAATAGTAGTTCAGAATTCCTGTTTACTTGATCCCTAGTTTTGAAGCCTAGCAGGAGGCAAGGACCAACCACATGGATGATACTCAGGAATTCTTAGAATTGGAAGGGGGAGAGTGGATAGAGGTTGAAAAGGGGGAACAAAGGTACCTCATTGAACACAAGGACATCTCTTCAGCAGGAAATAGAAGAAGGGATTTAAGAGTAAGAGAATGTCAAACAGTGGATATTAAATCTAGGATCCTTAACTTATAAAAGTAGTGTGTGATAAGTTTGGTTTAATTATATGCCAAGCTCTATCTATAAATATATTAGTTGTTTCCACAACAGAGAGTGAGAAATGCCTAAGCCAGAAACAAAGATAAAACTTGTTTATTGTCACAGAATCAGTGTGTGTTCAGTCGCTATTCTTTTATAGTTTTTTTGTTCAATATGGCCATCTGTTTTCAACATTTTAAAATGGTAGGAACAGATTCTTGCCATTGTTCCCAGGAGTCAAGTGGGAAAAAGGTAGGCCTCTGTAGCCTTTAGAACAGAAGCAGCTCTGACAATCTTGCATTAGAAAAGCAAATTGATTTATTCTTGTATTCATTAATTTAATGAACATTTATGGAGCTTCCTCCAATGTGTACCAGGCACTTTGAATTTGATGGGAATACTGGTTTCAGAGTTTAAATGGCTCTCTCAGCAACTTTCTAAAAAAAAAAAAAAATCCCTAAACAGTAGTTTACTATTGTTGTACATCCTGATAGGCTTATACATCCAGCCAGTGAGGATTCTCTAACAGTAGGTGTCTTTGAGCACCTGCAGCTTTTGTTAATAGCAGAGCTTACATAGCATCCCAGCTTAGCAACTTCTGCCATGTATGTTGTCTCTTTGCAAATCTTTGCATTAATAATGCTAGGCACTGCTTTTATTGTAGACAATTTTTAAGTGGTAAATTATCCAAAATACCTAACTTCAGTGTATGTCATGTAATTTTTTTAACATCAAAAATGTTATTTCTTGTTTTCTTGAATTCTTATATACCATATAATAAAAATTACCTTGGTTAAAAATACTAATGTGACACTATAAATTGTTAGCATGCCTCAATAAAAGGCTAGAACCCACCATATACTAACAATCTTTTGGGTGTCTCTTAGTACAGGACTTTTTTAAAAGATGACTTGTGAATCATGTCCCCAGTACACTTGGGCTTCTTAGGTTTAACAAAAGCAAAATAACTTACTCCCCATATCAAACACTACCAGTAGTTGCTGACAGGATTCTATAGTGAAGGAAACCCTGCTAAATGGAATTTTTCTTTAATCCCTGCAATGCTGGATTTCCTAAAGCCAAAAATATTTGCCACCTCTGTTTGTTCAAAATCAGCATTTGCTCCTAATCCAGTGGCAATCCATAGTGTTGGCTCTGGTCATCTGCCTGCCCACAGGAGGACTTGACAGAGGTATTGAGGGGTGGGGGGTTAATCTGCAAGTCTCAGATTTATAAACTAATCCCTTTTCTTTAGGAATGATTTGGTTTCCTCTAGGAAAAATCATTTACATTGAGAAAATATCTTGGTCTTATATATGTAGGGAATCAGTGAGAAAATGTGTGTTTCCTGTTAATTGTCTCAGTATAAGTTACATGGAATTCATAGTTTGAAGATAGTTGAGGACTGGTGGAGTGGCTCAAGCAGTAAGCAAGCATGAGGCCCTGAGTTCAAACCCCAGATCCACCAAAAAATAACAATAATAATAATAGTTGAAATAATTAGCTGGATGTGCATACCTGTAATCCCAGCTACTAGGGAAGTGGAGACAGGTGATCACCAGTTCAAGGCCAACTCTGGCAAAGTTAACAATACTCCATCTCAAAGTACACTGCATGTATCTGTGGAAATATCACAATGAAACTCCTTTATACAATTAATTTATGCTAATATGAAAGAAATAAAATGAAAAGGGCCAGAGATGTAGCTCAAGTGGTAGAGTGCTTGCATAAGTAGCATGAGGCCCGGTCTACATTAGATTAGTGTTTAATGTAAATTAAAAAATTACAGTATGTCATTACACTTCCATTCAAGTGACTAAAATTGAAAAGACCAGTATTGGTGAAGATGTGGAGTAACATGAGCTCTGTTATACTGCTGGTGGGATTGTACAGTGGTATAACTATTTCAGAAGACAGCTTTTTTTAAAAAGTTAAGCATTGCTGCTTTATGATCAGCTACCCATCTCCTGGGTATTGTGATATGAGAAAGAGGATGATGAAGAAAAATGAAAGCCTAAGTTCATATAAAAACTTGTACATGAATGTTTACAGCAGTTTTATTTGTAACAGTCAAAAACTGAAAACAACCTAAATAGCCATCAACAGGTGGAATAAAAAGCTGTGCCATACAATAGAATGCAACACGCTGAGTAGTTACAACATGAATGAATCTCACTTGTGCTGAGTAAAAAAAGCCATATTAAATAGTACATATTCACTCCCTTCTTCTATTTATGTAAAATTCTAAAAAGTGGAAACTGATATGTAATGACAGAAAGTGGATTAATAATTGCCTGGACATAGAAAAAGGAGGAATTACAGAGGGGTATGAAGAAATTCTGGAGGTGATAAATGCTTATTTTTTCTATTGTGGTAATACTTGTGTATATTTATGTCAAATTATCAAATTACACATTTTGAATATGTACAGTTTATTGCATGTCAGTTATAGCTTAATAAAGCTGTTAAAAAGAAAAATATTGACATTCCACATGTTTCTGTTCAGAGTGTAGCTTCCATTGGCAATACTTTAAGTAGTGTCCATCTCGCTGTAGAGGCAATGCAGAAAACTGTGGATGAACACAAGCAAACCCTGGAGTTACTACAGAGTGATATGGTAAGGAGATCTGCAAATGCTACAGAGAAGTAACATGCTTCTGTTTGCCCCTTTCTCTGTAAGAGTCATTATACCAATTTTCCACTGAGTTGAGCAGGCCGTACTGTACACTTTCCTAAGATCTAATAAGCGATATGTACCAAATGTTCTATAGTAAATTAAACAAGGTAGATAGAATTTAAAATTGAGTCTTTTGAAAACATGAAAACATAGTACTTAAAGTGGTTCAAGCCTATAATCCTAGATACTCTGGAGGTAGAGATCAGGAGGATCATGGTTTGAGGCCAGCCCTGACAAAAAATTTGTGAGACCCCATCTGAACCAGTGAATGAACACAAGGAGACACACCTGTTATCCTAACTACATAGGGAAGCATAAATAAGATGATCACAGTCCAGGCCAGTCTGGACATAAAGCAAGCTCCTATTTCAAATATAACCAAAAGCAAAAAGAGCTGATAGCATGGCTTAAGTGGTTTGTGCCTATCTAGCAAACGCAAAGCCCAAAATTCAACCTTAGTCTAAACTGCAAAAACAAATAAATACATACAGTTCCTAAAGATGGAATAAGTAGGATGAAATAGAAAAGAAGGGAAGTGAATACTCTTTTATTGCTGCATAACCACTTTGAAACAAGTTACTATTTATTCTGAGCATCAAGAGTTAGAGCAGGGCTCTTAGAATCTCAAGGGCTGAGAGGCCAATGGAAGAGGTGATCTGGAAGATGAAAGATCAAGTTGGATGTCCAGCTCCAGCAGGTATCAGGGGAATGCAGCCATATGTGTGATCTCACACTATACCACAAGGGACAGAACCACTACCACCACCACTCCCAACTGAGTGTGGTCAACCCACAGAATCATAAAAAATAATAAATTATTGTTTGAGCCACAATGTTTGAAGATGATTTGTTGTGCAGCAACAAAGAGCTGAGATGAAGTAAAGTCTGCCATGCCCAGAAAGTGTGTTCAAATGACTCTGGGTCTCCTAAGACTCTTGCAGATATAAGTTGTCTGCAGTCATTCAGAGGCTTTAATCATTTAATGAGTAATAGTTCCCTAAAGGATTTATGAAGAACAAAGAAGGATGGCACAGTCCTTGCTGTCCTTGTACATGAAATCAGGACTATTCTAGGCACACAGAAATTCCCTAGCCTCTCTACTAATTGCTAGATCTGGCACACATGCTCTTTGCAAGCTTCAGATTTCAGAGTCTAAACTGGGCAGCTTATACCAAGGGAACCTGAGCTTTATTATTTTCATTTGTTTGGAACCAGTATTCATTATTATTTAGTGCTGCTAACACAGGGAAAAGTGTTAATCTAGGTGTCCAGACACCTAGGTTCTTCTTCCATCTGCCAATGAGTAACTCTGCGCTGTGACCCATAGTAATAAAAACCCTTCTAACTCAGAAATTCTTTTGTCTTGAGCATGTTCTCAAGTAATTAACCATTTTCTAAGATACTTTTTCATTTTTCATACTGAAAAATTCCTACTTCCTAGAGCTATGAGTTTTATATCCTTTTCTCTTTAATGCTGCCTTTCATGTCTATAAAAGCAGAGTTGATAAATATCTAGAATTTCAGATTTCATGGAAAACTTTTTTTTCACCAGTTACATTCTGTTGTAATAAAGTCTACCTTTTTTAAACTACTGACTAAGTCATAGTTATGGGCTGAAAGATTCAGCCATGCAGTTTTTCCCACCAATGGAAGAAAATGTACATAAGCATGTTATACCTCAGACTTTGCAGAAACTAGAAGAGTGGGGACAGAACGGGAAAGAGGAGTAACCCTCAAACATAGATTTGGACATGTATTATTAGGGAAAACCTAGTAATGTACAAGGCCAGTGGTTACATGACTGGTTGCTCTTATAACCCCATTAGTCCAGTGGGAGACTGAGTTGGTCACTGGAACATTGGAGTAATTCTGTAGTTTTTTGTTTTTGAAACAGGGTTTTACTATGTGGTGCTGGCCTTAAACTCATGATCCTCCTGCATTAGCCTCTCAAGTGCTAGGATTACAGGCATGTGCCATGATGCCTGGCCTCATTCTATAGTTTCTCTGGGAGTGCAGGTAATAGGGAAGAGGAGAAGTGGTTTCTAAAGAAACTGAGAAGGGAACTAGGAGGATCTCTGTCCATCCTCTGCTTCAGACTGGGCATCCCTATGCTGCCTTCAGTACCTAGCAGAGGATTGGTTACACTATAGGTTCTTAAGGAATACTTGTAGATTAATCTATGGTTGCACCTTGGGGGAAGCTCGAATGTTGTGGGACCATCTCAGATGGTTAAGTAGACCTAGCAATTACTTGTTGCCTCCATTTTTGTTAACAGAATGAGCATTTCTTGAAGAAGACCAGTGGAAGCAACCAGATCATCTCATCGCCTTCAGCTATATTGGAACTTGACAATAAAACCCACAGTGAGAACTTGAAACAGGTACTTTTTGTCTCTGAACTACAATGGGCTATAGAAGCCACCTGAGGAATTTGGGTTTAGTGTTACTAGTGCCTCAGCAAGGACCTTGTGTATCTGTTCACCTGCCTGAGAGCAGACAGAAGGATGTGTGCTGGTATCTTGGGAATCCAAAATGCTGTCTGTCTCATCTTTGGCACTCTGCTTTTTCTCCTGCATGTCAATCAGTGGAGTAAATTCCTTTTCACATTTGAAAGACATTATCCTGATCTATGAAAAATAGCAATCTAGGGCTGGGAACATAACTCATGCCTTATGTGTATGAGGCCCTTGGTTTGATTCCCACACTACAAAAACAAAAAAATTAATTTAGGCAAGTCAAAAATGGATGGGTAGCAGATTAATCTAGAGTGATGGCTATTTGAACCACAGTAAATTCTAAGAATGTTAGGAAGCATAGCCTTGGAAATTGGGATTTTTCTAAAGTCTAAAGACGAAAGGCAAGACAGAAGATAAAAGAATATTGAGCTCAGAATCACAATGAGAATAAAGGAAATCTTCACTAAGAAGCATTTCTGTCCTGTGTTTAATACCCTTTAAAACCTATAGTTATCATTCCTTTTTAAGTAGCAATTAGTCCTAGAGGATGTCAATAAAAATAATTGAATCTCGTACTAAATAATGCACTACTTGCTATGGTTTTGTTACATGTGCCAGTTTAGTAATTGGTATTGTTTCTAAGGTAGTTTTGTTCTGACAAATTAAGTTAATGGGATTTCTAGTTAATAACCCAGCAGGCTTTCTGCTAGCAGGTGAGGTAAACATTGGGAAATCAATTCCCAAACTCTGCTTTCTGGGACCATAGACTGAATCATGTAGGTATTCCTCTTCCCTCTTTCCCCTCCTGTCTAGATGAGGTCAAACAATTCCAGAGGAAGTAAACTGGGAACAATTTAGAATGGGGCACAGGGGAACAAAGCAGAGATAGACAATTGATGGTCACAACCAGGAAAAGGAATTTACTTCAGTAACTTGACATAATAATGGTTATTCAGTGCTCCTGGCCTGCTTGTGTAATAGCAATTTTTAGCTGCATTCTGCATCTTGATTTATTTCTACTCTAGGATATCCTGTACCTTCACAACTCTTTAGAGGAGGTAAACAGTTCTGTAGCGGGGTACCAGAGACAGAATGATCTTAAACTGGAAGGGATGAATGAGTCACTCAGTAATCTTACACAGAAAGTCAACCTGATAGAAAACGATGTGGTTGCTTTGACCAAGGTAGAAAAGAGAAGAAACCTGACCTCCAGCATGGTAAGCCTTTTCAGATCTTTTGTGACATGTGTTGTGTTGCAGTGTGTTTTGTCTGTACATATACATATATGACATTCCACCGCCTTTTGAGAACAATCTTCTGGCGTATTTGAGAGGCTACACATTTGTATTGTGTTTGACCCGCGTCTCCTTTAATCCTTATACCAGCTCTGCCACGTGAATGGCAAAGCCAGTGCTAGTCCATTTGGAAAGGGAGACATGGAGTCAAGTCACTTGCCACCGCCTCACTACAAGTTGTTGGCAGAGATGACAAGTCTCTTATTATATTACCAGTGATCCATTAAGTAGAGAAGCTCTAGGTCTTAAGGTTAGAGGTGGAAGCAGTGACTGTTACCAAAAGTTTTTTGTTATTTCTTTAGAACTTGGCTTTCAGATTTATCCTTCTTCTGCCTGCATATTAGGGAAAACCCTTTGCATATAATGTCAGGAAAACCATTTAAAACAGATCAGGGCAGACCAGCTCATTGTATATAAGGTCATTGAGTCCAGCCACTCATAAGGAAACTGAATAGCCTGTTAAGTCACTGATACTTGCCAATCCTGCAGTTTACTAGTCTTTGTGTTCTCATGAATAGAATGTGGATTTTTTTTTTACATCACGTTTCACCTATACATTGTGTTGGGATCCATGTAGATTATTTTATAACTGCTACAGGCCTCACCCTTAAAGATTTCATACAGCAAAAATACAAGCATATAAAAAATGGAAATAAAATAAAGGAAATTGTACTATAAATTCAAGAAACCACCAGAGCTGGAAGCAACCCACAAGTGAAGACTAACACTAGTACATAACAAGGAGTGTTTAAACTGGTTCTCCCTCAGGGAGTCTTGGCAAGTTGCCTGGACATGGCTTTGAAGGGTGGAATAGGACAACCTGTCCCCCTCTGCCAGGCCTCCTGCTTTAGAGGGGTGTATAATTTACTACAAAGCTGTGAAGATTAAAGGAGCTCTAGTTTTTAAAGCACTTTTGAACTTACCCACGCTAAACGGGCTAGGAACTTTGGATGGTTTGATGAACAGTATGTCTTGAAGGTTTTTAAGGCTTATTGTGAAAACTTACCACCCCAAACTCCCCTTTTTGTCCCAGCCCTCCCCTTTTTATTTTTATCCAGCAGAGAAAATTGGTAATAATATCCATCTGCCCTACTGTTTCTCCCAACAGCTTCATACCCAGCCTGAATCTGGATAAAATTTCTATCACCTTTTATTCTTCAAAGTTTTAAAGTTTGGATTGGAACAACTAGAAGCTCTGGCTTCTGGTTTGTCTTTCTGTAGCCTCCCTCCCCACTTTTCCATTCTCCTACTCCTCTGCTATTTCTTTTGAAAGTGGTATGAAACCCTTTAAATAAATTTGATTGGTTCATTTAAAAAGAACTAGATATTGTTCAAGTTTTAATATTTGTCTTTAATCTTTTCCTTTTGTTCTTTTGCCCTCCAAGATAAGGAATAGAGCTGCCACTCTGAAAAGAGAATCTTTGGATAAAGTAACCAACAGAACTGATACCATAAAAACCCAAACCATAAAGGTAAATAACAGGAGGCTTCCCTGAAGTAAAAACAAATGCATCAGCATCTCTGTGCTTGTCACTTGCTGCTTCCTTCTCAAAAGGAGCACTTTGGTCTCAGGTACTAAAACTTCAAGACAAAGCAATTAGTAAATGAGTATATTAGTAAGTAAATGAATATGGTATCAGGCACTTGCCTGTGCCAAACACTTTGCTAGGAGCTGGTATGGCAGTTCTGAGCAGGTCAGGCACATGACCTTTATTCCATCACTCAGAAACCCAATACAGAACTGAACAGAAGGGCTGGGATGTAGCTCGGTGGTACAGCACTTGCCTAGCATGTGTGGGCCCTGGGTTTGATCCCAGCACCAAAAAAAAAAAAAAAAGAACTGAACAGATAATTAATCACAAGTCTGATGAGTGCTATAAAGGAGAAATATAGGGTATAGTGAGGAGATTAACAGAGATCAGGAAGGCTTCCCTAAGGAAATAACATTTAAGCTAAGATAGTTGGTCAACTATATTAATGATGGGGAACCAAGACATAGATACTCCAAAAATGGCATCCAAGCTAAAAATTATTTCCTGTGTTTAGATTGCATTTTCAATACATTCATAGTACATTTAAGTCTCTGCCAGTTTCTTTCACCTTTTTTGTTCTTCCTAGACATATTATGAAGATAAAATAAGTAATCTGTGAAATGCTTTAGTATCCAGGGAAAGAACATTTGATTGTGGTATTCTCTGATTAGGACGTTAAGTCATGGGCTAAAATAAAGGAAAAGCCAGGAAGAATGTGACTGACTGAGTGGCTACCATGTCATCTACAATGCACCTTGTGTTTGAAAAGTTCAGAGGAAATGAACTTGAACTGAGACCATAGTAGAGGCATGTGTGTGTGTGTGTGTGTGTGTGTGTGTGTGTGTGTAGTCCTGGGGTTTGAACTCAGAGCCTCACACTTGTTAGATACTCTTGAGCCACACCTCCATCCCCAGGCAACTGTTGATGTTAATGCTTTCTGTCTTTACATCCTTAGCAATTTTGTATTGAGTAGATAAAGTCACATATATTTAAGGTTTTAGTGTATTATAAGCTGGGCTTTTGTTAAGTTTTCAAACTGCTTCTGTAAAATTGTTTTAAACCTCACTTAGAGAATGACAAAAAAAATTTAAAAGCCAGATATAAATACCGAGTACAAAAAAGTAACAGTATAAATGATTTCAACAGTAGTTTATATTTTAACAGGAAACATCAGAACACTCCCCTAGCACACACTGTTGCCTAAGTTTCTTGGCTTATTTTCAGACTCCTTGTGTTTTTAACAGTCATCCCAATGTATCAGTCTCTTTGTCCCACCTCATTGTTGATCCTAACCAGATATAATTTCTCCTTACTATTAGTATTTAGTACTATTACTAAATAAATATTAGTTTCTATTACATATGTCCATATTGAAGCTCCCTAAGTAAATCAAGTGACCAACTGTAGATTAACTATTAAGAAAGAAGTAAATATAGGTGAAGAATAAGTAAACATATATTGAATAAAAGATACATGAGATAAGCTGTTGTTTGACTACACATGGGATGAGGCTTTTCCACACTATCATAAGCAGTTAGAAACTAACCTCATAGAAACCAGACTTCTCTCTTTTTTATAATTAAACATTTTTATGTGCCACTCTACATCATCCTGGAAAAGGCAGAGAGTGGGAGAAAAACTTTTAAAAAGATACAAGGAAGTAAAACTTTGAATTAGAAATATTATAGCTTCTACTTCCTGACAGTTCCTTCCACCAGTTGAATCATCCCCATAGGGGCACATGGAGGGCCAGGGAATATTTCCAACTTGAGTTCAGCTGATACGGTTTTTGTTTTGTTTTTTGTTTTTTGGCAGCACTGGTGTTTGAACTCAGGCCCTCACGCTTGCTAGCCAAGTGCTCTTATCACTTGAGCCACTCTGGCAGCCATTTTTCAAATTGGTTTTTTTGAGATAGGGTCTTCCAAACTATATGCCTGGGGCTGACTTGGAACTGCAATCCTCCTGATCTCTGCCTCCTGAGTAACTAGGATTATAGGTGTGAGCCACTGGTGCCTGGTGAGTTTTTTTGTTTGTTTGTTTGTTTGTTTTTAAGCTCTGCCTCAAGTGGTCAGGTCACAAAGTATGATATGAGATATTCAGGACAGTGATTTAGTTAGTGTGAAATAGCTCCTAGAAAATAATATCCTCCTCCTTTAGAAAATGTGTGTGGCACAGGCACCTGAGCAAGGGTACATTTCCTTTACTGCTGATGCATGCATGCCTTCCCTCATCAGCCAAATGTTCTCAGTGAATCAGATCATGTGGAGCATAATGTTCCCTTAATGGTCTGCCCTCAAATCCAGCTAGACACTCATCAACACCAAACCAAACCGAACCCCAAAGGTATCTCCAATATTTGTTGATTCATTCCTCTGTTGCTTTTAGAGGGAACCTAGTAAGTGTCAAGCACTATATGCTAAATGTGCGCTGGGAATATAGTGGAGGTTCAGATGAGGTTTTACTTTCACCTTAAACTTTCTGTGATCTTTGTTTTGGGCAGAAAGAAGATAGTTCACATTCTCAGGTATCCAAGCTACGAGAGAAACTGCAGCTGATCAGTGCTCTCACAAACAAACCTGAAAGCAACAGGCCTCCAGAGACCACAGATGAAGGTGAGTGCTGGGCTGGCTTCTGAATATTTCACATAGGCTTGGGCAGCTTGCCTCCCACTCAGAGAGTAGAGAAGGTATTCCAGCAGCACTGATCGAACCGAGTGAGTGATGCCTGAATGCACTGAGATGAAGCTGATGCACTTTTCTTTCATTTAGAAAAAGCCCATTTTGTACATGATTTGTACTCTAGTCTATTAAGGGAAAAATGGGTAATGTTTAGCTGAAATAGACTTCTCCATGCTGTCTGCATCCAATTATAGACAAAAATGTTACTGTCGCAGCGTATATTAAACCAGCCCTAAATGTTGTTTATGGGAGTCTTTCCATTTCTGTAAGTGCATAAAATTTACTTAAAAATAAACATTAGTCTTGAAAATCATTAAGATACAATAAGATTATTGGGTTGGATGGGCATTTGGCTTTAGGTAGAGAAATAATTAATCAATATTAGGAAATGCATTCATTAACCCCCACTGACTTAAACCCTATGAGGGCATAGCAAAAGTATTGTATTATGTTGGTTTTAATCTCTCCTTCTGCAAGTATTTTTCAGTTTTGGAAAAGCAATATAGCTTCCCTTGGGTTTTCTTGAGTGGGAAACAACTACCATGGAGGCCTTGTCCTAGCACTGTGCTACGTAAACTTACGGTAGCACTCTGTTAGCACCAGCTTGTTGGTAGTACATGCTCTCAGGCCAGGCTTATCGCACATCTCCCATCAAGTCAAACGATCTTTAAAATCAACCACTATGCTGTCATTGCTTGGCAACTTAAACTCTTACTATCTAAATGTGTATAATTCTAACTTGTACTATAGCTTAATTCTCCTGTATCTGAAATGTTGGGACCCAGAGTGTTGCAGATTTTGAATTTTTTTCAAATTTTGAAATATACATAATGAGATATCTTGGATAGTACTCAAGTCTAAACCTAAAATTCATTTGTGTTTCATAGCCTGATAGTAATTTTATATAATATTAGTGCCCCTTCATTTTTACTATATCCATTACATGAGGTCATGTGTAGAATTTTCCACATGTGTCATGTCATCACTCCTAAAATTTTGGATTTTTTTTAAGCATTTCAGATTTTGGATTTTCAAATTAGAGATGCTCAGCCTACATCTTCCAGTGGGACTGCTGCTTCAAACCTTAATTAATGTAACGTCACACTGATTCATCTTCACTTGCCCATAAACATATCTCAATCCAAGCCTTTAATTTCACATAATCAGTGCTACTTAATTCTCAACTATTTCTCTTACATTAAGTACATATGCGATTTCCTTAAATAGTGACCTTCAATACAAGTTTAATTTGGTATTAGAATTGATTATGCTAAAAGCATATATATTTGTTACAGAGCAAGTACAGAGTTTCACATCAAAGCCATCAGCATTGCCAGAATATTCACATCTTCTTGGAGACCATATTGAGAAAGCATCCCAGCTAAAACCTGTCTCCTTACCAGGAATTTCTAGCTTTGAAGGTAAATTTTTATACTGTGGGGTAATGGTGGTAATATTCAAAATCATAACTTTGTGATTTTTTTTTTACTTGTAAAAGAGTATATCTAACATTTATTGAGTAAATGGGCCAGATACTTGATTTACATCATATAATCCTGATAACAATCCAGTTCTCCTAGTACTCATGAATTATACCCATTTTACTGATAGAAAACTGCCTAAGTTTGAACAGCAGATAATTGACTGAAGCAGAATTCAAGCTGAGTCTGTCTGACTCCAAAAATTGCACTCTTAAGCAGTGTACCATATTGTCTCTCTATTAAATTTAGGGTCTTCGTTTAATTCACTAGGTACCTCATTAGACTTGTGCTAAACAGTGAGAATACAGTATATGATACAGTCTCTCTTTCATCAAGGATATTATAGTCTAGTGTAGAAGGCATAAAAGCAAATACAGTACTGGGAAGTTAGCAAAATAATGACCCTCCAAAAATGAGGGACCTATTGCTGAAAATCAGCAAAATAAACATTGGTAGGAATGATGTAATTCACAGAAAAATATATTTGCTTTGGTTCCAATAATGTGTTCTGCTCTTCATTGTGATACTGCAATCTCCTGATTTTACATTTGCTAACTGCCTGGAAAATCACCCATTCCTGTTCACCTACCTTTCTCTGGCTCTTCACTTGAACTTAGATACCATTCCACCAGAAAACATTACCTCCCAGGGCTTGAGTTGGCTTTTCCTGAGTGTTGTTACATTTTGTGTTTGCCGCTGTTTAGCACATGTCACTCTGTTGTAATTTCCCAGGGAGAAACAAAATTTTAGCTTCTGTGGGAAAGTATATGTCTTATTTACTCTCAGCTTCTAGCACAGAGCCTAGTACACATGAATATTGGTTAAATGAATGAATAAGTTATCTACATGCTGCAACTAATGCTTAAGAAGCACAGAATGTTTATAGAGATTTATATCACCATTTAAATGCTATTTTTTTTCCTATCTCTGATTGAATTTTTTTCTTTGCTTTCTAGTGGGGAGGGAGAGTGTTGTATTTAAGGGCAACATAAGTTTCCTCCTCCACTTTCCATTATTATATTAAGAATTGATAAGAATGAATGGAGGAAAGACCTAGGTCACATTAGGAATGGCAGTCTTAACATTTGTACTTCAATCCTAAATAGGCCTTAGACACTTTTGAAATTACCTGAAGCAGCAGTCATTATTATTTGAATAGTGCTACTGAGTATGTAGTTTTTTGTAGAAACTCATGCCACCCAAAAAAAAAATTCTAGCTACTTGGTAGCATGCATTGGATGCTTTTCTGGATTTCAGAGAGCTTTTGAGATTTTAGTAGCTGCATTGCTGGGCCTGTGATAGGAGTCCAGCCCTATTCAGAAGTTTATAAGAATTCCTTGATGCACCAGACCTTGCGCCAAAACTGCTTTCCTTCCTTCAGGCCATCTTTATTCTTTCTGAATAAAAGAGTGAGAAGCCCATTGAATCTAAGTGTGGCCTTAAATAAATGAAGAAAATAATTTAGGAAGATTTTTAAAGAAACATAAGCCCTATTGACCTTCTTCAGTATTAGAGAACAAATCTTTCATTCAATTATAGGAACACAACCAAGTCCTTTTTAAATGTTATAAAATACTGATAGTTCTTTATCCTGCTGGCTAAAACAGTGCCTTTGGAATAAAAAAGATATAGATCAACTGGAGGGATTGGAGTTGGAGAGAAAATATGCTTTAAAGAGATATATAGTCTTCTGGTTCTTTTTTTTTTTTTTTGGTACTGGGGTTTGGACTCAAGACCTACACCTTGACACCTTGAGCCACTCCACCAGCCCTTTTTTTGTGATGGGTTTTTTTCAGGATAGGATCTGGTGAACTATTTGCCCAGGCTGGCCTTGAACATCGATTCTCCTGATCTCTGCCTCCTGAGTATGTAGGATTACAGGTGTGAGTCACCAGCACCTGGCTTCTCTGGTTCTTTTTTAAAGTGTGTTACAATTCACAGACCATAGCAGTAACCCTTTAAAATGTATAACTGAATGATTTTTAGTATATTCGCAAGGTTGTGCAATCATCACCACTATCTAATTCCACAACATTTTCATCACCCCAAAATAAAATTCTGTTTCTATTCAACAGTCACTTCTCAGTTCCCCCTCATCCTAGCCCCTGGCAACCACTGTCTCTGTGAATTTGCCTATTTGAGATATTTCATATAAATGGAATCATATGGTATGTGGCCCTGTATGGAATCATATGGTATGTGGCCCTGTATGGTTTTTTTTTTTTTTCAGTATATTGTTTTCATGGTCTGTTTATGTTGTAGCATGTAGCTATACTTCATTGCTTTTTATGGCTGAATAATATTTCATTGTGCCACATTCTGTTCATCCACTGATCAGTAGATGGATGTTTGGGTTATTTCCATATTTAGGCTATTAAGAATAATACTGCTATGAACATTAGTGTGCAGGGTTTTTGTTTGTTTGTTTTGTTTTTTGTTTGTTTGGTGGTGGTACTACGGTTTGAATTCAGAGCCTTGTGCTTGCTAGCCAGGTGCCCTAACACTTGAGCCATGCCCCCAGTTCAATTGTGCAGGTTTTTAGGTATATGTTTTCATTTCCCGTGAATATGTACCTAGGAATGGATTTTCTGGGTCATATGATAACTCTGACATTTTGAGGAAGTTCCAAGTATTTGCCAAAGTGGCTATACCATTTTACATTCTCATCAGCAATATATGAGGATGAAATCCACTTTTTCCACATCCTCACCAACACTTTTTTTTTTTTTGTGATGCATGTGAGTTTTTTTTTTTTCATTTTTCTTTTATTATTCATATGTATGTGCATACAAGGCTTGGTTCATTTCTCCCCCTTGCCCCCACCCCCTCCCTTACCACCCACTCCGCCCCCTCCCTCTCCCCCCCCACAATGCCCAGCAGAAACTATTTTGCCCTTATTTCTGATTTTGTTGTAGAGAGAGTATAAGCAATAATAGGAAGGAACAAGGGTTTTTGCTGGTTGAGATAAGGATAGCTATACAGGGCATTGACTCACATTGATTTCCTGTGCGTGGGTGTTACCTTCTAGGTTAATTCTTTTTGCTCTAACCTTTTCTCTAGTTCCTGTTCCCCTTTTCCTATTGGCCTCAGTTGCTTTAAGGTATCTGCTTTAGTTTCTCTGCATTAAGGGCAACAAATGCTAGCTAGTTTTTTAGGTGTCTTACCTATCCTCACCCCTTCCTGTGTGCTCTCGCTTTTATCATGTGCTCATAGTCCAATCCCCTTGTTGTGTTTGCCCTTGATCTAATGTCCACATATGAGGGAGAACATACGATTTTTGGTCTTTTGGGCCAGGCTAACCTCACTCAGAATGATGTTCTCCAATTCCATCCATTTACCAGTGAATGATAACATTTCATTCTTCTTCATGGCTGCATAGAATTCCATTGTGTATAGATACCACATTTTCTTAATCCATTCGTCAGTGGTGGGGCATCTTGGCTGTTTCCATAACTTGGCTATTGTGAATAGTGCCGTAATAAACATGGATGTGCAGGTGCCTCTGGAGTAACCTGTGTCACAGTCTTTTGGGTATATCCCCAAGAGTCTCACCAACACTTTTTATCTATGGCCAGCCTAGTAATTGTGAAGAGGTAGCTCATTGTAGTTTTGGCTCTGCTTAATTTCTGGATCCAGAGAGACAATGTCACATAATAGAAAAAGCACCAGACTAAGTAAAGAAGAAAATGTGTACTCCTTTGTATTGGTATATGAAAATGGAACAACAAAACCTGTTGAAATTGTTCTAAGAAAGGGGAGATGGGGGTGGTGGAGGTGAATCTAATTAAGATACATTGCAAACACATATGTAAATGTCACAATGAAACCCCCTGTACAATTAATATATGCTAATAAAAATGCAAAAAAGGAAAATGTATTCTATTCCTTATCTAAGAGTTATGTGGCCTTAGCAACTTATTTTCCTTTTTGAGCTTTGGTTTTCCTATAAAAACTATGAAAACTGTGAGTGTTTGGGATTGTTACTTCTCATAGACTTCTAAGACATTCCTCCAATCCCCACTCACCCATCCAAGAAGAAATCTCACAGTATGCCATGATCCTATCAAATAGGCCTCTTCATTCCTTTTCATCCCTTCAACATAAAGTAAAATCTGGAAAATCTGAAGAGAAGACCCTGGGCAGAGAAAAGGCCAGGCCATGCATTTTTCCCGTGATTGTCTGTCACTGCTTCTATTTTGGGGAATAATGTGCCATATAGTGTTCCTCTCATTTTTAAAAGATCAAAAATTAGTCTTCGTGACTCACCAAGATCTTAAACATTGCCTTTTGGAAACAAAATTTGCAAAGTAGCTTTTCTTTTAGTTCTTTAAAGTCAATTGAGGCCACTTTTAACTAAACTTAGCTGTATAAATAGACATACATATTTTTTGTAATTCCTTTCGACAGATCTTCAGGATTTATTCCACAAGACTGACCAGGATGTGGATGGGAAGTTGACCTACCAAGAAATCTGGAGCTCCTTAGGTTCTACCATGCCAGAACCAGAGAGCTTGAGAGCATTTGATTCCAACGGAGATGGAAGATACTCATTCCTAGAGCTAAGAGTAGCTTTAGGTGTCTAGACTCATCAGGCATATTTTGAAATGGATATAAACCCTGAAACTACCTAGAATCTACTTACCCAACAAAAACAACCCTTTTTCTTATCCATCAGCCCTCTAGTCCTCCAAACTACTTACTATAGCAAACACATTGCCACCTTTTAACTTGTTTGAAAAAGCTATATAAAAGTTATTTTTTTAAAAAAAGAAAACCATTTTATTTATAATATAATGTTCAGAAATCTATGATTTCTTGAATCTAGTAAGATCTTACATTTTTAAATTGCCTGGAAAAAAAAATAAAGTCCTCTTTTTTTTTTTTTTTTTTTCTTTTTCCTTTTTTTGAGGAGAGGAGACCTTATCTTTTAAAACTGGAAAATGTGTATGTAGAGTGAATAGCCACTTTTATATTTCATATAAATTTGCCTTAAACTAGCTGCACTTTATAGAGACTCAGAGTGTTTTCTTTAAAAGATAGGCCTTTTCTGTTTGTAAATACTTAAAAGATTGTGCATATTTTGTATAAAGTAGGAAGAAAGGTTTTGAATAGGATGTGAACAAATGACTTACTAGAAATCACTAATCTGATCTGGGTAGCAACTGAAACTATGTTCACATCCTAAGGTAACCCTCAAAGGCCCAGTGCTGCTGTGGTGTTTGGCCCAGGAGCTGGGAGCATTGATTCAGGGAATGGATGCTGTGGGAGCAGTGCTGACTCCAGGCTCAGGAAAGTTGAATTCTGAGTCTTTGTTCCTGTTCCCTAAATTAATCCCAACCTAGGAATCAGACAAGCATTGTTGGGGATTTTTCTCATTTTTAATCCTCTTTTAGGGTTTATGAGTTATCCAATAGAGAGGACCTACATTCCCCACACCAAGTGAGCTAGATTGGCTTCCCCTACCTACCCACTCAAATCTATCTCAAAGCTGTAGCTGGCTCCTGCCTTTAGTACCATCTCCATTTTGGAATGGCAGGATTCAAGTCCCTGGCCACTGTCTCAGACTGACCACATACAGCGTTAGAAGAAAGCTGTGGTTCTGATTTTGACCACTTGAGCTTTTTACCTGGGGACTAGCCAAGAACAGGATATATTTCTTGGTGAGATGCTAAGGTCAAAAAGATTATAAAATGAAACATGTAAAATCATACTCAGTTTCCTTGTAGTTATCAGCTCTGAAGAAGTTAGAGGTTTTCTTTCCAGAAGGAGTATGCTAAAGTATAGCAGGCAGGCCTGGAACAGGAGTCTTCACATGATGGTAGCAAGTTTTTTCAAATCTGATACAAGCAAGTGCAATATTGCTCCTTTTAAGTACTTCTGTGGACCTGGCACAAAAGGTCCCTGGACTGGAAGGAATAATACCTCCATGTCACCTGTATGTTGAGTTAGTCATGCAGTGTTGTTCCTAGAAGCAGTTTTAGGACAACACTAACTTTTTACTTTATAAAACTTAACTTTGCTGTAGCTAAGTGAGGAAGAATCTAGAGAAGTTTTCGTGGCAGAGATTACTTTAGTAGATCATTTCCATTTAATTTTATCCAAGTTGCCCTGCCAGCCATGGGTGCAGTTCAGTATCCTCAAACATTTAAAAGTTAGTTGTTTGTTTGTTTTCTTTACATGACATTCAGCTTGGTGTTGGCTAACTTTAAATTTTTTAAGAAGTGTTAAAATTTAGTTAAAGTAAGACGAAGTCTTTTCCCATGAATGTGCCTGCTTCTCATTATGGTTTATGTCCCTCCACCCCCAGCCTTTTAATTTTTTCCTTGACATTTCCCTCGCCCATCTATGCTATTTCACTTTCTTGGAAAGGTTAAAATATAGTTTAAAAATAGCCTGGCACTTTAGGTAACTTGAAGATAACTCACTCTTCTGGCTGCCTTCCCTGCCCCCCTTCTCTTTTTATATATATACACCCTTACAGATTTTGTAACAACCAAATAAAGTTCTAGCAATAAATTGAATTATACTTCTATATTTATATATACTGTAACATAAATAGTATGTCTGTACCTGGAAGGTATTTTTTGAGAACTGATTTATATGAAATATATTGAGGGTAATGTAGCTTGTCCTTTTTAGTTTCAAGTTCTTATTCATAGACATATACTTTCAGGACACCTTAACTCTTTGTGGCATGTACTTTTGCATCCATGAAGAAGTCGGTTTTGTTTTTTAGTTCCTCTTCTGTTCTTCCCATCTTGAGTTTGTCTTCCAGCATCACTTCTGAGCCATGTGTAATGCCATCCCCTCCCCTACCAAGTCGGTCAGAGGCTTCTGTTATTCTGCCTGAGAAACTACCTTATCTCCTGGGCAGAGGTAAGGTATCTTGACCTTTGTTCATAGTTGAACAGACTCATTGGCCACAGAGCCCGCAAAGCCTATCCCCACAATGTTGATTTGGGATTTTCGTTTGTATGTTGTCCTAACTTACCTGCCTATGCCTGTGCTGAGCTGTGGTCAGGCCTCACCTGCACATCTCAGCTCTGAGAAAAAAAGATTGGGTAGTAGTGATGGGTTTGGCTTTGGTTTTAAATCCCTTTACCTTTTCAGTTTAGCAGCTCTTAGTGCTTCTCTCCTAAGTTTCCCAGAACACTTTTTCTTGGTCCTTTTGTTCTGTTGCCTTATACTCCTGGCATAATGTTTACTTAAAGAGCTTCCCCAAGCCAGGTGTGATGGTACATGCCTGTTACCTCTGCACTCAGGTAGCTAAGACAGGAGTATTGAGAGTTTGAGGCCAACCTGGGCTATAGAATGAGACCCTATCTCAAAAAAAAAAAAAAAAAAGTAAAGAGCTTCCCCATAAATCAGAGAGGCAAACAGGTAATGTGGAAAGAGAAGAACCAAAGGAATAGAGTACATGGCTTTGAAATGACTCTAGTGTCATCTAAAGGGTGGAGAAGTGCCTGGCTCTCAAGAATGGATCTGATGCAACAAAGCTGACCGTGGACACCCTCCCCTGCTGCTGGTTATTTTACTTTCATTGCAGTTATTGGACATAGCCCTTCCAGCCCCCCTTGCTGGTCCTGCCCCCGTCACAGTTGAGGATTTTTACTCTGATGGGCTCTTACTCATAATGGCCTGTTGTTTTTAGTGACAGCTTTTGTTTGCTACACACCTCATTGGCTTGCTTACCAACACCAGCTAGACGTGGTCCCTTCTTTCAGATCCAAACCAGAACACATTTGGGTATTTCCTAGAGTTTATAGAGCATGTGTTGTTATATGAACCTAATCTACCTTGTTATTTTCTCATATTAAGAACTGTAAATCTACTTTGTTTTAATGGAGCCATTTTGGTAATGTATAAGCAATTTTCATTGTGTTTGGAGAGTGAATCAACATTTTCATGACTTGATTCGAGCTTTGCTTATTTCCTATCAGTCATCTAGCCATTTTAATTTATCTAAATAAAACATTTCCTTTCTCTCGTGTCTGACTAAAGCTTCTCCCACTCCCTTGATTATTAAGAAAAAAAATCTGATCCCTATTTTTAGGGATCTGATCCCTTCATCTTGAAATCAAGGACTAATAGATGGTGAACACAAACCAATGTTCAAGAATCTGCCTGAAGAATTGCAGCATTTGGTTTGACAGAGTAGCTTAAAGTGGTAAGAGTACCTGCCTAGCAAACATAAGGCCTAAGTTCAAACCCCTGTGCCACCAAAAAAAAAAAAAAAAGAATTGCAGCATTTGGACTGAAGCAACAAAGGCTGTAGAGCACAGGCTTTCGACATATTCAGAATAGGAGGGAGCAAGATGCTGGAGGTATTAGCCCCTGGGTCAATCAGACAAGCTCCACTTAGGCCTGTTTTATATTTTGAAGTACAATATAAAAAGGATATTTGTAAGAAATGTTCACTGCCTTGAAAAAAATAAAGGGTTAAAAGCCATTGCTAGAGGGGTTATATTATATACAGGGCTAGGGCTTTTCCACCACAGGAAATAATTAACTCTACATGTTTAGTAGGTTCTAGGAATCACACACACACAGAGTTGCTCTTCCCCTCAAGGAAGTCTATATATAAAGTTTAGATCACATACAAATATGGGTTTGTTCATTTCCAAAGTGAAAGGGTGGACTGGGGATATAGCTCAGTGGTAGAGTGCTTACCTAACCTGCACAAGATCAATCCCCAGCACTGGAAGAAAAAAAAAAGTTATTTCCTATGGCTGAGCCAGGTTTCCTTTTCTTTAAACTGGGGTTAAATAGCTACTATTATTTTTGCCAGTCCTTTTAGAACCATTTCCAGAAGGTGCAAAAAGTTATATTCCCGGATACCTATATAGTAGATCTTAACTTTTGGGAGTCATGAATCTCTTTAAGATTTAAGCTGTGGATGTATTTCTGTAATTTTAGAGGGTACACTGACCAGCCCTTCTTCAAGCCTATCCATAACCAAGTTGCTGACAGTCCCCACACACTAAAGCATTCACCAAGTCTGTTCTCATAAGATATGATTAGGGAATGGACACCATGGGATATGGTGGAAAGATTAGGAACTTTGATCCCAGGCTGATATAAACTGGATAACTGGTTCTGCAACAAAAAACAGCATATGTTCTTGGAACCCGTCTCTTTGTAAGAGGAGGATCATGATAGCCATTTGAGAGCATTCTTGGGAGTGTTAGAAATAATATAGAGACAGCCACCTAAATCAATACATCATACATATGAGCCATTCAGTAGTATGACTCACAGGTCTCATGTTGACTTGCTTGGCCTGTGACATATAGCTACTGTGGACTGCTACAGTTGTGTGCCCTCAACAGCTGCCATTCTTGTGGCAGCTGTGCTTGCCATCCTGCAGAACAACAGTGCCTTTGGTGACCTAGTCCAAGACCTGGTACAGGTTTGGGCTTAAATACTTGGAGGGATAGTGAGTTCTGGTTCAGTATGTCTCTCCACAGTCAGCCTCCAGTTCCAGTTTGTATTGGTGAGAGTCATGATCAACTTGGTTTGAAAGTGCCCTAACCAAATAGGGAAAGGGAATTGCCCCCCTAAGAGCAAATGAGACACGAGAATCTTGGACTTTTTAATCTTTCATAATGTGACATCCAGATGGGCTCTGACTTCTATGTCAATACCACCTCCCTTTAAGGTTAGCTCCATTTTCTACTCTGCCCCTGGTACCTGCAGTCTCACCCTCAGTAAGAGGAGGCTATAATTCTGAAGCAAAAGGCTTGGTGTTAAAGCAGTTCACCCCATGGGCCAATGTGGGAAGGGAATGGAAGTGGACATCCCTTTCAGAACAGCTGGCCAATGGGTAGGAGGCAGAGTGGTTCAGTATGGGAGGTAGGTTGCACAGGGATAGGGCAAAGGGCACCTCCTGAAAGATGGGAATTGGAAGTGGGGAGCTAGTATGGGGCTGTGGCATCGAGGAAGAGAGCGGCTGCTGTGGGACTACCAAAGCAGGCTGCAGAGGACCAGGGGCCTCACCCCTTGCACTGCTGTCTTGAACAGCATAGCCCCTGCCTTCAGGGATATCCACCTCCCACAGAGGATCTGGATTCTGGACTTCAGTCTCAGTCTTGGTGGCAGCAGGGGGAGGGCCCGTGTTGATGGCTGTATTCATGCCATAATGACGTCGCTTATTTATCCAGTACAGAAGTGGGCTATAGGTGAATGTGGCAGCTCTCATCACCTCCACCCACTGCTGGGCACGTTCTTCCCGCCTCAAGTTCTTCTTCCAGTGCAGAAAAAGAATGCAGCTACCGGTTACCACAGAGCACAGCCCCAGGAATCCAAAGTACAGCAAGACCCACACTTAAGTCAGAAAGAAAGAAAGAGTCAGGCTGGTGATGCTCTAGCTTGGGGTCTGAGCTGTTTCTAGTTCCTCTGCTTGACCCATTCACCATTCACTCCATCCAAAAAACTCCTCTCAATTTCTTTTTTCCCTCCCTCCTTATAGACTTTTCTCATTGTTCTCTTATTTAGTCAAAGGTAGATGTCCCGGGCACTTAAGAGGATAAGGAACACTATTTCTAGAGAGGTTGTGACCTTCCCAGGCTGTCAGGCCTCTGGTTCTGAGCCCGAGACCATCCAATCCATTGAACTGAGAAGCCTCACTAAGGGCAAACAAGGTCATCAGGGAAGGAAAAGTTCACCATTTGACAGGGACACCAGTGTATCTCTTCTGGTTGGGCAGAGCATGGTCCTGTCTTCAAGGAATCCTTAGTTTTCTAGAAGAGACTATAGGTGACTACTTAGTCACTGCTTGAAGGCAGCCACCACCCCATCCATGCAGTCTCTAAGTGTTTGTCCCCACACCCAAGGGTACAAGGCAAGGGGCAGGGATTAGAGGGGCACTTACTGCCAGGGAGGCTCAGATCCTCCTGTTGGGAATCCATAAGGACGTGCCTTGGTACCCAGCCTTCGGCTCTGGAGAGAGGGAGCTCATCCACTGATCTGTCCACCAATGGGAGTCCTCAGAAGGCCCAGGCCCCATTGTTCCCCAAGGGAGAGGTCACCAGGTTCTGAGCAATGGGCATTCCAGGAGCAATGCTTATAGAGTGGTACTTGGTTAATGGAAGGAACTCAATCCAGTGGTGTCACATCACTATCAGAGGCTAGTCCTCCAACAGCCCCTGCCCCTTACAGTGAACCCATAGAGCAGCCCCCAAGAAAGGGCACTCCCACCCTCAGGGGCTTATCCATGTTGTTGGTCCTTATAGAACCACTGCTGAATACCTTCCACAATGACCTATGTGTGGGGAGCACACAACATTGAGCAGCCTACCTTCAAAAAGTCCCTGACCAAGTTAGAAGAAAACTTGCTCAAGGGAACCAGATGGTCAACACTCTCTTTGACTTCTAAAATGTCTCTTTTGTTTCATTTCCTTAACAGTGCTGGCAAGTGTTTCCTGGGCATCAGACCCTGTGGAAGCTCCCCTTATCTGGTCCTGTATTTGTTTTCAGCCTCACTTCCCTGAGGAATGTGAGGAAAGGAGTGTGATGACTGCTTAGCACTCCTTGAAGGCAGCCACCACTCCCTCTCCACAGTCTTCTCTAAGTGTTTGTCCCCACACCCAGGGACACAAGGCAAGGGGAAGGAATTAGAGGGGCACCTACTGCCAGGGAGGCTCAGGTCCTCCTGTTGGGAATCCAACCCTCCTTTCTGGCCAGGTCAGACACCGCAACAAACTCCTCTTAGTCATTTCTCTGGAGTTTTGCTCATGCTGATCCACCCAAGAGTGCTGCCCCTTTCCATGTTTCCACCACTGAACACCTACTTATCTTCCCAAGCTCAGCAAAAACCCCTACTCTGTGACAAACAGCCCTTTCCCATGTCTTCCCAGAATCAGATCATCTCCAGGTGAAGAGACTTGGAAAGTTGTCTAGTCAACTCCATCAGATGCTTGAATCCTGGGGACAAATCTTCCTTACTCAGCAGCCAGTCTCCCAGGACTCATTTGAGTCAGAGACTTTCTCACCACCTTCTGAGGAAGCTTGATCCATTTATGGGCAGTTCAGAAAGCCCTCCCTAATTAAGCCTAAATCAGCTACCAGTAGGATGCCTCACTGGTCCTAGTTTGTCTTCTCAGAACCATTTAATTCCTCTCACCTTTATAGTCCCCTCATTGTGTCTCCCTGGGGTCCACTTACCCTGTGCTCTCTTAAATCACTGGCCCTTTCTTCTAGTCTCCTTTGCCTCTTGTTCCTGATCTCTAAGTGTTGGCATGTTCCAGGCCTCACTCAGTCCTTAGGGATCTACCTACAGTCACTCTTCAGTGATCAGGGACTCACTCATTGTGTTAAATGAGTATCAGATACACTTGACAATTTGCAACTTTGTATCTCCAGCCTAGAAACACCCTCAGAACTTCATATCCAACAGCCTGGTTAAAATCACTTCCTTACCAGTCTGTTCTGTTATTTCTAACATGATCAAAAATAAACACCTGATCATTCCTCCTCCAAAATCTACCAGCACCCTTCCTCCTCTCTAAAAGCAGCAACTCTGTGCTTCCACTTGTTTAGGCCAAAAACCCTGAACATGTCATCATCCTTGATTCCTTTCATTCTACCACACCATCTCTGCAAAGTCTTTATGCTTTTCTTTCAAAATATGCCCCAAATCTAACTTCTCCTTCCATCACTATCACTTTAATCCAGGTACCATCTCCCAGTTGGATTACTGGTTTCCCTGTAAGGTAACCAACCATCCTGTTTGGTGGCAAGGACTGAAGGGGTTCTCAAGACATGCAGCTTTCAGTGCTAAAACCAAGAAAGTCCCAGGTAAAAAACAGGACAAATTAGTCACCCTTGGGAGTTTCTGTCTTTGCCCCACATATCCTAAATTCCACCAGCAGCCGGAATGATGCTTCTAAGAGTAGATCATCTCTGCTCAAAACATACTGTGACTTCCCATCTCAGATTGAAAACCAGTCCTTAACCAAGGCCTGCAAAGTCCTGAGCAATCTAACCAACCACTGCCCAAATCCCCAGCCACCACTCCATGCCTCCTTAGTCTCATTTCTACTGCTTGCCCCTTCACTCATTGAGATAAAATAACCTCCTTGCTGTTCCACAGACAGGGTAAGCATGCTCCTGCATCAGGGCCTTTGTACTTGCTGTTTTCCCTACCTGGAAGACTGTCCCCCAGATACCCATGCAGATCATTCCCTCATTGCCTTCAGGTCTATGCTTGAGGCCCCTATCTCTCTTAGCCTGCTGTTTTTGTCTGCATAGCATGTATCCTCACTTCATGATTGTATGTTATTGTCTGCATAGCATGTATCCTCACTTCATGATTGTATGTTATTGTCTGCATAGTATGTATCCTCACTTCATGATTGTATGTTTATTGTCTCCTCTAGAGTGAAAGCTCCATGAAGTACTGTAAACAAGGATCCAAAAATTTTGGAGTGAGGGCTAGATGTGTGTGATAATTACCATGAAAAGAGTAAAATAAAGAGGCAAAATAGGGTAAAAATAGACTATAAAAGAATGGAAAGATACATCAAAAAGGTTCTTTTAAGGGACCTGTGACATTGAACTGAGCCCTAGGGAATGAGGATGCATCTACATGCAAAGCTGAGTAAGGAAGCAGTGGTGTAAGAATCCTGAGCCAAGTACAGGCCTGCACATCTAGACTGAGTAATCTTCCACTACATTGCTCCCAGCACCAGTGGGGCTAACCTCCAGGAATACAGGTTGCATTGAGTAGAGCTGGAGGCTGTGTACCTGCCTCAGAAGGGGTTTCTGTCAGGTAAGAGGCAGGCAGATGAGGACTCCATGCAAGGCAAACTAATGGCTGCCCTCACAGAGGGTCCACAATGCTGGGAGCAGTGAGACACACAGATGTTGATGTCATCCTCCCTGACCCAATAGCTCACACCTGGTTCTGTAGGTGAAGAAGGTGGCATTTGGGTTGAGAAAGAGGGAGACAGAATTCCAGAGATCAAAAAGAACCTGAATAAAGACTTGTCAAGGACAATTCCCTGTGGCTGTTCCCTTTACTCAGATGTGCGTGTGCCTGCCTTCCTCTCCCCTGTTTTTGGAGAAAAGAGTAGTTCATTTTGTCTGGAACTCCAGTTGGACGCCGGGAAACAGAGAGAAACAACGCTTGGGAGGCAGCTGGTGTCCTGAACTGCTCAGCTCTTGGACCGGTCATTTAATAACTCGCAGCCTCAATTTCCTCATCTGTAAAATGAGACGCCTGCCTCATAAAATAGGAAGGAAGTCAATGCAATGTTCGAAAAATAGAAACGGCCCTTGTCGCTACAGCGAGTGCCAAGTGAATTCAGAAGGGAGCAGAAGGACCGAGCCCGCTTTCCAGGGCCGACTTGGCGCGCAAAGACTGCCGGTCCCGAGAGGGAGGGTGTGAATCCCGGCCGGCCCCCGGGAGGAGGCAGGCGGGGGTCCACACACAGGGCGACGAGAGTTCACCGGCAACGGCGGAAGCGACCAACCCAGTCCCGCTGCGCCTTGCCCCTCTCCTGTGCCCGGAACCTTGGGCGCGCGGAACCTCGGTGGCGGAGCGCAGGCACTGTGGACCCGGAGGGCGATGGAGCAAGCGCGCGGGCCGGGGGCCGAGGCCGACGAGCCTGAGGAGGAGGAGGAGGAGGCAGAGAAGACGGGGGTTGCGATGGCGGCCGTCGTGACTGCTGCGGGCCCCGCCGTCCTGCAAGTGGCCGGCCTCTACCGGGGCCTGTGCGCCGTGCGCAGCCGCGGCCTAGGCCTGGGGTTCGTCTCTCCCGCACAGCTGCGCGTGTTCCCGGTGCGCTGCGGTTCGGGTCGGCCCCCCGAGGGCGCAGATGGTAAAGGGGTAGGGTCGGAGCTCGAGGCCAATCCCTTCTACGACCGCTACCGGGACAAGATCCAGCAACTGCGCAGGTGCGGCCCCAGCGAACTGGAGAGGACGGGCCACGGGGCGGGGGGGGGGGTTACGGCCCGAGCTCCTGGGCCTTAGAGCTGCCCTGCGTGTGGTGGGCACTGGGCCTGTCCTCATTCCACTAATAGTGTGCAGAAGCTAGGCCACTTGCTAGCTAACCACAGCACACAGCTGGCCTCTGCAAAGTCCTGGCTCTTTGCACGGTTGCCTTTGTGCTGCTCTGAAGGCAAAGGTAAGGAAGGCAACTCAGAGAGTCTTGTCCCCATTATAAAAATGGGGAAGTAAAGCCTTCCAGAGGAGGGAGTTGACTTGCTCAAGGTCATATTCAAGAGCATTCCAGGGATCAAAAAGAGCATGAATAAAGACTTCAAAGACAATTCTCTCTGGAAGGACTGATCTACCAGAGGAGTCAGTGGACACCTGGCCAAAGCTCGGGTTCCCAGATTCCTCGCTTAGGGCCCTGACTGCAAGGAAAGGAGATTGGGAGTGAGAGAAGTTCCACAAAGACTTAATAGTGTCACAGTTGGGTCATGAACTGAACCCCCTCATTAAAATAAGGAAACTGAGGACCAGAGAGGGGAAGACACTTGCCAAAGATACAGCTGGTTGGGATTTGTCTAACTGAATCTGAGATTCCTAATATCCCTCAGCTTCCAGAGGGTAGGACCTGGAGATAAGAAGGGATTTGAAGGGCTGGGGGGCATAGCACAGTGGTAGACCACTTGCCTAGCATTCACACGGTCCTGAATTAATCCTCAGCACCCCAAAGAGGGATTGGGGGAGTAAGGTGGGTGTAGTAGAGCCATGGGAGGGTCTGAAGAGTTCAAGTGGGAAATACTGAAGAAGATCAAAAGTGAACGGGGTCTGGGAGCTTTAGGCAGGATAGGAAGTCTTAGGAAAGGAAACCAAAAATTGACCTGTAAATTCTCTCCATTCGGTTTCATCTCAGATTCCACTGCCTTAATTTACTACTTTATCTTCACCTGGACTACTGCCATCATCCTCTAACTATCATCCCCCACTTCCAGTCCATCTTACTGTCACTAAAGTGATCTTTGTCACTTTTTAAAGAATGTGATGGAATAAATGAATAAGTGCTTTTACCTTGCCTTATCTAGTACTAAAACTTCTTTGAGTACGATGCTATAGCAGAAAAAAACTGGAGGGGAAGGGAGTAGCATTCAGGTAAGGGGAGCAGCAACATAGTCAAAGGTACAGAGCCATGAAACCACCTCAATCTTTCCAGAATGTTAGAAAAAATTTTCTTTTTTTTTTTTTTTGTGGTACTGAGGTTTGGCAAATTTTCATCATAATACCTATAACACTCTTGTGTACATATTTACATCTGTCTCTCCCACTAGAGAGTGTGTTCAAGTAAGGATTCTGTCTTATTTATTTTTATATCCATAGAGCCCATAAAGAGTTCTTCTGCCTTCTCTATGTACTCACCATGGCAGGCCCAGGTGCACTTGTGGCTGCTAGCAGGACTTATCCAGTTCTTCCAGAGAGAAGCAAGATTAGCTCATCTCCATAGTATTGAAGGGAGTGGCATTTGATGTCGCCTCCAAAGGAGTGTTATGAAGAGGGGCCTCTATAATCCTTGATTGGGAAGGTCTACCAGATGGGAAACAAGATGTCCCTTCACATCTTGTCTTGTGAGACACTGGGTCTCACAGCCAAGGAGCTAGAGTCCATGGATGTTGTCTTTACAAAAATATGCAAACCAAATATCCCATGGTCAGCTACAAAAATTCTTAACAAAAACCCAACCTGGTCTTCAAGTCTGAAGACTGAACCAATTTTAACATAAAAGTTGAGTTCTGATGTTCCATCTGCAGGTTGTTCAGAGTATAGGTCAGGGAGACAATCAGGTGCTAAATTTGTAAACCCACTGCTTGAAGCCTATGAATTACCAGGATCTGAATAAAACAGATGTTTAACCTGAGAATGGACAAGATGTCAAAGAATTAGATATATTCAAGTAAAGCCTGACACCTAGTTGAGATGCTATAAGATTTCTGCCTGAGTTGGGTGCTGCTGGCTCACGCCTATAATCGTAGCTTCTCGGAGGCAAAGATAAAGAGGATCATGGTTCCAAGTCAGCCCAGGCAAATAGTTTGTGAGACCCTACTTCAAATAAGCCCAACACAAAATAGGGCTGGTAGAGTGACTCGTGATAGAGCACCTGCCAAGCAAGTATGAGGCCCTGAGTTCAAACCTCAGTCCCCCCAAAAAATCCTTGCCTGAGGCGGAGGAGGTAATCCAGTAAGATGACTTCAAAGTACCCTTACCATCTAGATGATTCTAAGTACCTGAGGGACCAAGCCCTGTGTCACCCCAATACCCTGCAAGAGAAAAATGTTACACTTGGCCCCTTGAGGATTAACAATAGTTGAATAACTGACTTTATTTTCCACTCTTGATTTTCAGACCAACCAACAAGTCCTTACTAACTAAAGGCACATCCTTCAACCTTTCTGAATGACTGTGTCCATGGAGGTAGAACAGGATGCTTTATTATTCCAAAATCCAAAAAGGCCCAGTTGATTTATCCTTTGGTTTACCTTTGATTAGGTCTGACCCAGCTGCTTTTGAGTCCCGCCTGGAGAAGCGCAGTGAGTTTCGGAAGCAGCCAGTGGGGCACTCCAGACAAGGTGATTTTATCAAGTGTGTGGAACAGAAGGTAAGGCTAGCCCGTTTTTGCGTTGTTAGCTTACCAGCACTTCTCCCTGCTTCCCCAACTCTATCCTCAAAGTAGGCATTGATGGATTAACTAGATGTTCTGAACAGACTCTCTTACTCTGTCTCCATCCATAAGTATCTGTCCTACTCTTTGTGGACAAACTAATGTGGTCATGGTAGAGATAGAGATGAAACAACAGGACCCTGCTCACAAAGGGTGCAATCTAGTAGTCAAAGCAAGGCACACATGGTATTGGACTGTAGGGATCAGGGAAAATTTCTGAGGAAGTAAAACTTGACCTAGGCTAGGAAAAGTTTGGGGGATTTAAATTAAACAGAGAGGAGAGAGTAGGATTTTGTTAGATAACAGGGATCATGAGGCTGGAGACATGGCTCTAACAGTAGAGCATCAGCCTAGAAAGCACAAAGCCCTGAGTTCAAACCCCAATACCACCAAAAAATTTAAAAATTCACAAATAAGTTATCAGTAGAACAGGGATTATCAAACTTTTTCTTAAAGGACCAGACAGTAAATATTTTAGGCACTCTGGGCCATACAGTCTCCATTACAACTTCTCAGCTCATCTACTATAGTGCAGAAATAGGCCTTAGGCATTAAGAAAATGAAAAACTGTAGGTGTGTTCCAATAAAACTTTATTTACAAAAATAATTCGCAAGCTGGATTTAGTTTGGTAACAACCAGCCCTCACCTCCACACCCCATTCCTACACCTGTGTTAATGAATTTATTTAAACAGAGGAAGAGCTTTGAAAGTAAAGAGGGTTTCAGGAGACAGTGAGGTACTTTGCCTAATTTCTGTATCCCCAGAGCTTAACAAGCTCTCTGCTGTCCAGGATGCCACTGTCCTGGAGGAGGGGGAATGCAGAGGGAAGTATTAAGGCTAAAGAAATGGATTAAGCATTAACTAACAAACTGAGGCAATTGGGCTTAAGGAGTAAAGGCAGGATAACTTACTTGTTAAGAGAATCACCCTTAAGTCAGAGGCCAGGATCTGAATCTTAGCTCTTTCAATCTACCAGCTGGGTGACTCTGGGTAAATTATATAACTTCTCCATGCCTCAGTTTGTTTATCTGTGAAACAGGAATAACAGTACCTACCTCACAGAGTTGTGCTGAAGATTAAATAAGAAAGTACTTAAGATATACTAGTCATTGTTATCCTTAAGCAAAAATCAAAGTTAGGGAAAAGTATGTAGAATGCTGTGTATAGGAGTATTAATGCAGTGTTTTTCAAACTTTTTGACTATCACCCACAATAAGAAATATATTTTACATTGCAATTTAGTATTTATGCCATCCTACCCCCTAAGCCTATGTTACATGATTAATACTTTTTTTTACAAAACAATACTTACTTTTATAGCATGCACTGAGTTCTTTTTTATTTGTTTGTTTTTATCCTTAAGAAAACTGAAGACAATCCACTGAATTGATTTTACAACCTATGATTTGAAAAGTACTAATCTGGGGTGATACACAAAACAAATTGGAGTGAGAGAGGTTGGAACAAAGAAGAATATGCAGCGATCTAGATGTGCAGTGGTTTCCACTGTGACCACCCTTAAATAAAGTGGTCGCAGTGGAAAACTGGGATTCTACAGTCTTTTTAAAGTCAAATTAGAGATGCTTATTTTACTTGGAAAATAACTTTTTGGCATTAGGTATCCTAAGAGAATGTTCCAGTTTTAATAACTGGAACAAGATTAATAGTTAGTGGGCTAAGCCTGGTGGAATGGCATACATCTGTAATCCCAGTTCTTCAAACACTAATGCAGGAGAATTGCAAGTTCCAGGTCACCTGGGCTACATAGTAAAATCCTGTCTCAAAAAAAATAAAAAGTCAATAGGCTAATCATCACAAAGTTGAAGAGCATATTCAACTCCTATGACAAACATAGTTTACAGCTTTATGTGAATACAAGCTACTGCCTACTACAAATATTTTGATAATTGTAATTTCCTATAAGAAACATTTGTAAGTAGTTCATGCCTATAATTCTAGTTACTTGGGAGGCTGCAATTGGGAGGATCGGGGTTGGAGGCCAGCCTGGGCAAATAGTTCATGAGACCCCATTTCCAAAATAACCAGAGCAAAATGGGCCAGAGGTGTGTCTCAAGCAGTAGAGCACCTGCTTTGCAAGCATGAAGCCCTGAGTTCAAATCCCAGTCACACCAAAAAAAGAAAGAAAAGAAACATTTGTAGGAGCAAGGTTACAAGTCAGTAGCTCTTGGAAATATGACCATATTATATACTTTCAGTATTATATGGAGAAACTCTTTGTCCCTTTTTTGTAAACAGAGATAGAAATTCAGCTTGATGATAAAAGACAAAATAAGGGCTTTTTTGTTTTGTGGGCCTACACCTTGATCCCCTCCACCAGCCCATTTTTGTGGTGGGGTTTTTCAAGGTAGGGTCTCTCAAACTATTTGCCCAGGCTGGCTTCAAACCTCAGTTCTCCTGATCTCTGCCTCCTGAGTAGCTAGGATTACAGGTGTGAGCCACTGGCACCCAGCTTAATTTATCATACAAAGTATCAGCCATGTGTCAGAAAATCATTTTTGTTTTCTTACAGTGCTGGGGATTGAACCTAAAACCTTACGCATGCCAGGCAAGCACTACCACTGAGCTACATCCTGCTCCAGTGTTTAATTTAAACTATGGCAACTCTTAGGTAAATATTTACTATTTTCCTTAGCTAGCTAGACAGAGGAAGGCTAATGGCTGACTCATACTCTATTCTCAAAGCTCTCTCTTAACTTTTAAGTCAATTAAAATTTAATTTTTCTTCTTCTATTCTGAAATTATATAGTACAGTTAGGTAGATTATATAACCTACCTATCCACTTAATTTTGGGGAGAAAATCAGTATAATGCCCTAGCCACACTATAAAGGAAAGTATTTTTTAACAAAATACATATTTTAGTATGTAAATTCTTAGGTTCAGCTATACTGTGAGAACATGTAGATACTTTCACATATTTGCTTATTAGCACATAAGCAGCAAACACTGATACATGAATGTTATATTGGTAGTTCTAAAAACTCCAAAACTATAAGCAATGCTGTTGTCAGTGACCTGAGCTTCAACATTGTACAGTCTTCACTCAAATTATATAGGGTTGCATTTCTGGAAAGTTCAGTGCATATTAAAGCTTTGTATTAAAAATATTTTTAAAAGATTAGGTTCTAGTCCAGGTAATTATAAAAATTTTCATCTACAAGGATACCTGGCTGGATATTTAAAGGTTGTACAGGATGAGGAAAAGTTCTTCATTCTGTAAAATTACAGCAGACTTGGTACCCTTGCTGTCCCATCAATGGATATATCATCATTCAATTAATTCTCATCGTAACAAAGCTTCCATAGGGGGAAAGTAAATTTCTTAAGTGCTTTTGAGACTTTTGATACATAGTTTCAATTATTTTAATTGTCTTTTTTTTTTACTTTACTGAGGTTTGAATTTTTTGCTGTGCAGGTGCTCTACTACTTGAGCCACACCCCAGACCTTTTTGCTTTAGTTAGTTTTTGGATACGGTCTTACTTTTGCCTTGGGCCAGTCTTAGACTGAGATCATTCTACCTCTTGTCTCCCACATACCTGGGATTACAAAGGCATGCACCACTATGCCAGGTTTGTTTGTTGAGATTGGATCTTGCTAACTTTTTGCCTGGGCTGGCCTCAAACCACAGTCTTCCTGATCTCCACCTCCCAAGTGGCTGGGATTACAAATGTACACCATTGCACCTGACCTAATTATCTTATTTCATCACATCTAAGGCCCATTATTTTCTCCATATTTGAACATCTCTACAATTGTCTCAAAATTGATGTGTCATGAAACTGTTATTGTTTAATTGACACATTAATTTGATGAATATTAAGATTGGTGGCACGGATTTGATAAAATGCAATAAGCTTATACTTGTCATGTAAATTTTTTTGCTGAAGATGAAAATGGAGACAATGAATGAATGGATTCCAGAGACATTACAGGAAAAGAATACATGGGGGCTTGATGATTTAAAGGTGAAGGTACCTATGCAAATGGAGGTTTTGTTTTATTTTCATGGTACACCTAAAAATAGGTGATATGAACATAAAATCAATTCTCTCTTTTTTGATGGTTACTTATGAAGAAATTAAAGCACAGAGTAACAAAAGGCAAGGTTTTATGTAGAAAATGTTTTTCAGCCTCAGAGTCCACATGTAGTCTATATTTTTTACCTCTGGAGGGCATGATGTTGAACTTAGAAATTGAGTGGCAGACTGGGGGTGTGGTTCAAATGGTAGAGCACTTGTCTAGCAAGTGCGAGGCCTTGAGTTCAAACCCCAGTACCACCAAAGAAATTGAGTGGCAGACTCAGAACTATTAGCCATCTTTCAGCCATCCCTACTATTAGAAACAACTCAAAATAGTATTCCATTTCCTATTTCCTCTGTGGCTTGGTGTGGAATAGGTCAGGGCTGAGCATAAGAACCCTAAACAAACCTAATTCTAATAAGGAATCCCTCATATTCATAGTGGCAGGTATAGAATTCCCAATACTGGCAGACAGTGGTTACTAACAAACCTTTTCTCATCTCTGAATCCCATAATCTTAGAGGAAAGTTGTACATAAACAATAACTCTTATTTAATGTGTACAGTTGTTATGAAGAGTGGAGAGAAGTGAGCTGTCAAGTACCTAAGCTAGCTTGGTTTTCTTTTTCTTATGAATAAAGTATAGATTAATATCCTGTCTCAATCATGTATTTCAGACAGATACCTTGGGGAAACAGCCTATGAGCAAAGGATTCACTAAGGACAAGGTAGGTTTCTAAAAATATAGAGATCCAATTGTGAAGTCATATGGGACATCTATAACAAGAGGCTACAAATTTGGGCATATTTACTGTGGTTCAGTGATTTTTGTGTAAGGTGATTTTCCAGCTGCAGAGACAAGAACTATTTCTATGAATTTTTATGTCCTTGACATGACCTCTAGCTTAAGTATGGTCCCTGGGAGTACTGAAGGAAATTTAAAGAAATGTCTGGCTCTCCTCCTTTCTCTAGGAAGTAATTTTTAAAATCAAAAACATTTTTGGAGCTGGGTGCCAGTAGCTCACGCCTGTAATCCTAGTTATTCAGTTGGCAGAGATCAGAAGGATCACAGTTCAAAGCCAGCCGGGGAAATAGTTTAGAAGACCCTATCTTGAAAACCCTTCACAAAAAAGGGCTAGAGGAGTAACTCAAGGTGTAGGCCCTGAGTTCAAACCCCACTATTGCCAAAAAAAAAAAAAAAATTTAATCTATCAATTAAGAATTTACCCTGTTAAATTAAATATAACAACTAAACCTTCTCCTTCTATCAGCTGCAAAGTGGTACAGGACTCATGGTTGAGAGTGAAGCTTAATTGTGAAAGCCTGTGTGGGCTTGGGTCTTACCTTATCTGAACATGTGAGTTTTCTAATGCTTGTTGTGTACTTATTAAAGGTGTGCTTTATCGCTTCTCAGCCTGTTGGCTAAGATCAAGTATAGTATCTGTTCTTATCAGTTTAATATCTGATACGTCCTCTATCTGAGGACAATATATTAAATGGATTTTTGGAACAGGGAGATGGAATAGGAGCTTGCTCTGTCCACTCCATGCATTGACCTGGTATTGCAGTATCTCCAGGAACAGTGCACAAAAATAAATAAATAAATAAATAAATAAAGATATGCTTCACTGTTCTGATATTTTTTTCCACAAGATTCAGAGACAGTTAATCCTGGGGGTGAGTGTTAAATTGTAGGTGTTAATTGCTTTTTATTTTCTCTTTCAAGACTCTAAGTTCAATCTTTAACATTGAGATGGTGAAAGACAAAACTGCAGAAGAAATAAAACAGGTAATGAATAGAAATGAGTTGGCATATTCCATGAAAATGTGTGCTCTGTGAACCAAATCTGAGAGTAGAAAGAAGCATAAATTTTCTGACACCTTTTTCTAGCCAAAATGAAAAGTAATCATAAGGGCAAAAGTGATGAACAACAGTAGCATAAGAAAACTTATTTTTCTTGGCCTTGTTCTTATCTATTGAGTCAACTGTTTCATTCCTTTTGCCCATATCTTTTCTAAAATATCAGATGCGGTGGCACATATCTGTATTCTCATCCCTAAGGAGGCTAAAGTAAGAGGATTATGAGTTCATTGTCAGTGTGGGCTATATAAATAGACCCTGTCTCAAAAAAACATACATGCATTCATAAATATTATCAGTACTATACACTTGGATTACTATACTACCTTCCAAATGTGTTTCCCTGCTGTTATTTCTCCCATTCTACTTTTATCATATCCTTACCATCTGAGTCCTCTTTAAGTTCTACTTGCCTTATGGAGAAGCATAGCATATTGATTAAAACATAGACTTTGGAACTAAGCTGCCCATTTTAATTCCTAGCTCTGCCACTTGTACAAGCGTTCTGATTTGAACAAGTTAATTAACTTCTCGGGGCCTTAGTTTCCCTATTAAAGTGGAGATAATAATAGTACTTACTTCATAGAGTTATTTGAGAATTAAATGAGTTAACATTTTTAAAGACTCGGAACAATGCCTAACACAGAGTGTTATACTTATGTTTTTAAATAAATGAATAAACATAAATACTGTGTTAAGAACCTCCTTGCAAATTGTTCAGTGACTTTCCATATTCCCATTTCTGGCATTCATATTTCACTACTATCCCAGAACCTTCTTCAGAAAGCTTCCTGACCTTCTTTCAAAGCAGTCACAATCTATTCTGCCAATTTGGATATTCCATGTACCTTGATTGCACTGGTCATTACCTTTTCATGTCTGTGATTCTTTTCTCTAATCTACATGAAGATTTTTTTTGGTTTTGCATTCTTTATATAGTTCCCTGAATTACATTTATACATATATACTAGTTATCAAAACAATGAAAGGAACATACTGTGTCTGGTACTATGCCTATTGCTTCATATGCATTACTTCATTAAATTCTCATAGCCTTCCTAGGAAGTAGGTGCTGTTATTCCCAGTTTACAATTGGGGAAACTGACTTAAAAGAGATTAAGTGCCAGGGTTGTTGGTGCATTCCTGTAATCCCAGTACTTAGGAGGATTGCAAATTTGTGGCTAGCCTGTGCTGCATATGAGTTTGGGGGGGGAGGGGGGGGGGGGGGGGGGGGGGGGGGGGGGGGGGGGGGGGGGGGGGGGGGGGGGGGGGGGGTGGGGGGGGGGGGGGGGGGGGGGGGGGGGGGGGGGGGGGGGGGGGGGGGGGGGGGGGGGGGGGGGGGAGGGGGGGGGGGGGGTGGGAGGCCAGACTGGGCACACAGTGATTCTCAATCTCTCTCTTTCTCAATCTCTCTCTCTCTCTCTCTCTCTCTCTCTCTGTCTGTCTGGTGGGACTGGAGTTTGAACTCAGTGCTTCAAGCTTGCAAAGCAGGTCCTCTATTGCTTGAGACACACTTCCAGCCCATTTTGCTCTGGTTACTTTGGAAATGGAGTCTTTTGGACTATTTCCCCGGGCTGGCCTCCAACCTCAATCCTCCCAACCTCAGCCTCCCAAGTCTCCCAAGTAGCTAGGATTGTAGGCATGAGTCACTGGCACTCAGCTGAGACCCTGTCTCCAAGAAAAAAAAAAGACAGAGATTAATTTAACCAGTAGTAAAGCTGGCTTCAAATCTGTGTGTTTTAACTCTGCATCATATTTACTTTCAGGAAGTTGCACCAGTTTCATGTGTTTCTTTTAGATGTTATATCATCTATTTTAGCAAGTATTTATTGAATGCTTAGTAAATGTCAGGCTCACCTGGGCAAGGTGGCTCACACTTGTAATCCTGGTTACTCAGGTTGCAGAGATAGGAGGATCTCTGCAAAAAGTTATTGAGACCCTATCCCAGTTAATAAAGCTGGATAGGTGTTTCAAGCCTATCATCCCAGCTACAGAGGAGGCATAAATAGGAAGATCACAGTCCAGACCAGCTAGGACAAAAACATTAGACCCTGTCTAAAAAATAACTAAGGCAAAACAAGGGTTGGGGCTGTGGCTCAAGTGGTAGAGCATCTGCTTAATAAGTGCACGACCCTGAGTTCAAACCCCAGTACCACCAAAAAGAGAAAAAAAGTCAGGCTCTATGCCAGGCAGAAGCTCCCTACCCTTAAGGAGTTTTAGTGTAGTAGAGGGATGAACACAACAAAAAAAAGATCAGCATAGGCTTTTAACTTCTATTAATAGAGGCTTGTGCAAAGACTCAGGGAGACTTCAGACTGATCCTTTGGGAACAAGTGCCAATGGAATATGTGTGCCAGGCATCTCATTTAGGAGAGAAGCCAGGCCCAGGAGGCTGGATCGTGTAGGTGTAGGTATCATTTACACCTGTAATTTTAGAAACAAATTTGTTTTCATTGAAATAAATTTTGAGTCATGGTCAACTAAAATATCTGTCAGTCTCATAAATTTCAGGTTGATTCATAAACTGCTAATATCATAAATTAAATCCAAATAATCAGAATATGCTGTTCTTAAAATGAAGACAATGTTTTAACCTGCTTTAAATTAAAAAATTAAATTTTTTAAAAAGCAGAGCAACCTGAATTAATAGAGTGGTTTGTCTAGACCCTAGGAAGCTATAGTCCTTTTGTGCTCTGTATTGGTTAGATATATCACACTTTGATTAGTATGTTCAGTTGGGGCCTCACAGTTTAACAGGAAGTTGACTAAGCAAAGCAACTCTAAAGGAGGATCACCCATTCTTCAACCCTAGATCACAGTGTCACGTTGGCTATGATTCCTTTCCCTACTTCCATACCCTTGCTAATATTGTCATTTTCTTCTTAGAAAGTGCCTCATCTCCTCCTACTGTACCTGTTCATCTTCCCAACCTCTCTACCTTGCTCATTCCTAATTATTCTTCAGGATACAGTTAACTGTTCCTTCCTCTGGATTCTTCCCTAACCTGGGTCAAGTACCTCTTTTAGTAGCTCTGTGTCAGGAATCAAGGCATAGACCAAATATAAGTCTTATTGAATGATACAATCATGTATCATTCAGCCAGCACTTGTGAGTAACTTTTGGGTTGCAGTGCATTGGTGACATCCGGGCATACATCCCACCTACAGGGGACTTGCAAACTAGTATAGATCCATATATAAATGACCTTACTATGAAGTAGCATATCCAAGGTATCTTTAAAGAGGTTTAAAATACCAAAGCAATTCATAGGAAAACTTTGAACTGAAATAACCAAGGGAGACTATGTGGAAGAAGCATATAGGCTTAGCCTCAAAGGACAGGAAGAATTTGAAGACTCAGAAATGGGAAGAGGAAGCCTTATCCAGACAAGGTTGATAACTTGAAAAGGCATGGAAAACAATAAAAATAATATTAGTAAAATAAAATATGAACACAGAACATGCATATGATAGGCTAAGGGATTAAAAAAAGCAAAGACACACAAAAACACAAAATATGCTCTCTATCAATGTATATTATAAAAAGAAAAATATTCCTAAGATATACTAAAACCAGGTACATCAAAATAACAATAATTCTTTTAAGGAGGTAAGACTAACTATGAATACTTTTTTCCTTTTCTCTATTTTTTAATTTCTCTATGTAAATTTTTGTTCTCTACCTTTTGGTGTTTGCGTCATAAAGGTCAGCTGTGCCTTCCCTACTCCTTGATGTCAGGCAGAAGTAAGACTTCTAACTGATATATATCATAATCAGACCCAGAAGACTCTTATCTCTTGCTCATATGAAAGACTTTGGAAGCAAGATTTCAGAGCTACCTATAATGTGGTAATAGCTAATAAAAATTAATGTCATTTTTTAGGAACAGAGCTGTTTTAATTCACTTGATCAATCCTGTGAGATTGATGTTACTACTGTTTTATTGATGTTTAGGGAGTTTCAGTGATTTGCCCAAGGTAGCATAGCTAGTAAATGCAGAGCTGGGATTTGCATCCAGGTCCACCTGACTCCAGACCCTGAACTCTGAATGACTGTTGTCCTGGCTGTCTGGAAAGCCCACAGTTGGCTGTGAGTTTGGGAAGGGAAAAAAGAACATATGAGGTAAAAAAAAAAAAAGGTTATTTATCACAGACAAGATACATCTTGAGAGAAATAATCTCAAAAGTCTGTAATCAATTTCTGAACAAAATTTGTTACTAAGACTTATAGTTTAATCATCTTTAAGAGCATATGGCATTAAATCTCTTATAATCTTATACTAGTTTATAAAAGCATTACAATGGGTTTTTCCTCCTTGTTATCAAATAGTGTAATTCTCTGAGCAATGAAAGCTGTCACCATTTCTTGGCACAGGTTGAAAAAATTACCCACATGTCACAGACACTTTTTTTTTTTTAAACACAGATTTGGCAGCAGTATTTTGCAGCAAAAGATACAGTCTACGCAGTTATTCCTGTAAGTAGTTTGGAGAGGAAATGAAAGTATTACAGGTCAGTGTTCTAACCTTTACAGGCAGTTGCCTTTACTTTTCTTGTGTTTATGGCCTCTTGAGAACTTATATTTTATAGCTCTGAGGATTTTATTATACCCTAAGCACCAAAGACTGAAAGTCCCATATGGTGTATTTATGGTTTTTGTTTTCCCTCTGTCTGGTTTAGAAATGTGTCTTAAGTCAAGTCTGACTAGGGAACATGACATAAGTTCATATTGCTGAGTAATTTCCAGATTTCTTTTATTTCTTTTTGGTTTTTCCAACCAAGCTATTGAAATTTAAGACAGGGCCTCTAGCATAGCTTTCTTTCTTGTCCGTAAATGACATATACACAAACTGACTTAGAACCTCCTCCTAATCTTTTTCTGGCATTTCCCCTTAGCAAGTGGCATTTTCTTGGTGGTTTTTATTTTGTTTTGTTGTTGGTTTTTTTCTTCTTTTTTTCATTCTTAAATTCTTAAAATTGCTGCTGTGGAAATGGTCTCTGGCTACTGCTTGACCATTAAGGCCTGTTACTAGAAAGAGATACTGTTCTTTCCTCTGGTTTAATGTCCATCTGCTGGCATAGGTAAACATTTGAAATACTGGGTCATCAGCTAGTTCTTCACTTGTTCTTCTTCTTCCCTAAGAAGAAAGTAGCTTAGGTTAAGATTTCAAGTACATAAACATATTCTGAGTTTACGTGAGTTAAGTATAAAACTAAGAAAGAAAAGCATAGGCAGAAAAATAATGCCAGGGCTTTTGGTTGTTATGAGTATACCTCTTATCATTTTTTTTAACCATGTTAATACATACATACCTTTACCCTTCATGAGTTCAACAACCCACTCTACACTTTTCATTATATTTTAGGTCTCTTATACTAACCTATTGCTTGAGCAGATCTTCTCAGCTCCCCCTTGGATTGACTTTGTGGAGAATTTGAAGCATTGGAGCACCTAATCTTCAAATAATTCTGATAATGAACAGAAAAGTGTACATCTAGCTTTTTCTGTTTTTCTGTCCTAAGAATGATTTGTAAATGATGGAACCTAAAAGATTGTTTTAGTTGTAGTATAGTTCTAGAATTCAATCTTCGTGAATTTAATTGATTGTGGTCTTATGTATTTTCCTGTTTGTGAGTTAATTTTATTCTTATCCAATTTACAGAAAGAGAAGTTTGATTTGATTTGGAACCGGGCTCAGTCTTGTCCAACAGTAAGTTTCTGATGACCATGTAAAGATTGCTTATTAGTGCTCTCAGATAAGTGTGTTTTCTAACCAATCCCATCATATTCTATACTCTTTCACATGCTATAGTGCCCTGTTATTTAGCAAAGATGCTCACATGTTAATTGTACTGATAAGTGATATTGTCAGCCTTACAAAATTATATGGATTCAACCCAATAAACCTATGGCTTTTTAGGTTTCTACCACATCTCAGGTCTTTCTAATGTGGATCTTAATCTATTAATGTAAGTGTGTATTGGAAGACACCCTAAGTCCTTAAATTTTACAACCTCTTTCAAGCTTATGTTTTTCTTGAGAGTTTTCTTTGCAGTTTGTGCATGCTATAATGTCAACCTGTGCCTAAAAAGAATTAGGAGATTGTTGCTGGAGTAATGAGCCATCACAAGGCCTCAGGGAAAGGGAAAGGTGGCTATAACTAACTAAGTGTCAGTAATAATTTCTAGGGTTTTCAAAAAATTACATTCTAAACATACTGACAGAATATAAAGAATATCTAAGTAAATGGAAAGATATACCATATTCATGGATTGAGTGACTCAGTTTTATTAAGATATCAGTTCTCCCCAAGTTGATCTCTAGATTGAATACAACTCCAATCAGAATACCAGTAGGCATTTTTTTTGGAGACAGGGTATCACTGTAGAGCCCAGTCTGGCCTTGAACTTTGTGATCTTCCTGCCTTAGCTTCCTGAGTGCTGACATAGGCCACCTGGCCCCAACAGCCTTTTGGTTTTTTTTTAAGTAGTACTAGTAGTAGTAGTACTGGAGATTGAACTCAGGGCTTCATACTTGCTAGACATTCTACCACTTGAGACATATCCCCAAGTCCTTTTGCTTTTAGTTTTTCTTTCAGATAAGGTCTTACACTAACTTTGCCCAGGCTATCCTTGAACTGTGATCCTCCTACCTCCCCAGTAACTGGGACACAGGCATGTGCCAATACACTTGGTCCCCAATAGGCTTTTGATACAGTAATGAAAACAATGTGGTACTGACATAAAGGTAGGTATATAGATCAATGAAACAGAATGAGAGTCTATAAATACACTAACTTATGTGTGGTTAGTTGTTTTGCAACAAAGGTGCCAAGATAACGAAATAAGGAAAGGATAATCTTTTCAACAATAGGTGCTAAGACAATTGGAGGTCCGTGTGCAAAAAAAAAACTATCATAGTGTATACAAATTCAGCTGTTTTACTTTTGATGATATCTAACTTAATGATTTTATGGGTTGTGCTTTTTGTGATATACTTAAGAAATTTTTTTCAAACCAAATCTCACTGAGATTTTCTCTTTTATTTTCATGTATTTGTTCCATTTACATCTACAATGTATTTTATTTGTACACCCATGTTCCTAGCAGCATTAGTCACAATACCTAAAAGAAGGAAGTAACCCAATTTATATTAAAAATCTTGTAACTCAGTAATAAAGAGGATAGTCAACCTAATTTAAAAATGGACAAGAAATATAATAGTTCACCAAAGAAGTGAAATAAATGGCAGAGAAGCTCCTAAAACAATGCTCCATATCATTAGTCATAATGAGAAAGCAAATTAAAACCATAAACTGGCTAAAATTAAAAGGACTGATCAGCCAGTGGCTGGTGGCTCACGCCTGTAATCCTACCTAATCAGGAGTCAGAGATCAGAAAGATCACAGTTCAAAGCCAGCCCGGGCAAATAGTTCACAAGACCCTATCTCAAAAAAACCCATCACAAAAAAGGTGGGGGTAGTGGGGGTAGGCTGTTGGTGGAGATGTGGAGCAACTGAAATACTCATACTGCTGGTGATTACATAAAATGGGACAACCACTTTAATGAAAACAGTTTCTTTAAGGATAAGCATAAACCTATCATACTAATCAGGCATTCCACTTCTAGGTATTTTCTGAAGAAAACTATGTCTCTACAATGACTTGTGACAACAGATTCAAGCCACTTTATTTATAATAACCAAAAACTGGAAATAACCCAGATGTCTAAGGAGTATATGTGTGCACGTGCACACATGTACACATGTGGGTATATGTGTACATATGTATAGGTGATAAAGTAATACTCAGCAGTTAAAAGGAATGAATTATTAATGCATGTAGCAGCATGGATAGGTCTCAAAACAGGCTGAGTGAAAGAAGTCAACACCCCTCCCATAAAAAGGACATATTCTGTACTTCCATTTATATAAAATTCCACAAAATGAAGATTGACCTATAATGACAGAAAACAAATCAGTGGTTGTCTAGGCTCAGTTAGTGACAGGGAGATATGAATTACAAAGGGACACAAGAAAGCTGTTAGAAATGATAGAGCTGCTCATTATGTTGATTGAGGTAATGGCATCACAGTATATATATATATCAAGACTCATCAAATTGTACTCTTTCTCCCTAAGTACGTACAATTTACTGTACTTCAAGTATTCCTCAATAAAGCTCAAAAAAATTTCTCTTAAGGGATCAGCCATCAGATAGGCACTGAGGTTATCTCATATAATAATAATAAATCAGAGCCTGAGTGGTTGGCAATAGATAGCTCCATGACTAGTGCATATTGAACTTTGTTTTGTTCTGGCACCATTTTCTTCTCTAGCACTCATCCCCAATTTAAACTAGCATAAAACTAACCACTTTTTTGTTGTTGTTCTGGGGAGGGTGGGGAGAGACACTGGGGTTTAAATTCAGCTTCACACTTGCAAAGCAGACACTCTACAACTTGAACTGTACCTCCAGTCTGCTTTGCTCTGAGTTATTTTGGAGATGGGGTCTCACAAACTTTCCCCAGCCTAGCCTAAAACCAAGATCCTTCTAATTTCAGCCTCCCAAGTAGTGAGGATTACAGGTATAAGCAACTGGTGCCTGACTTAACCACTTCTTAGTTTTAGTCTTAGCCATATGCCAATATCAGCTTTAGCTGATAAAATATGAGGTGATCATAATAATTGGAACAAAATTTAATTCAGCAGAATTAGAGTTTAAATAGATAACTTATGATATATTTCTATAGTCCAATTTTATTCGACAGTGAAAAATTGATGGGTTACAGTTACATTTACCAACATGGGTAAGCCTCAGAAGCCTAATGTGAAGAAAGCAAGTTACAAAAGGATATATACAGTTTGAGAAGATTTAACTTTTTAAATGGGCAAACAGTATGTCTTGCCTGTGGCTATACACATATACATTAAAAGTATAAAGGCATGGAAGACACCAAATGCCAAGTAGATGTTAACTCTAGAATGGGATTGGAAATGGGTGCAGAGGGATCCTCAAATTTTATCTGTGGGGTGGAGGTGTGGCTTAGTGGTATAGTGCTTGCCTACCATATAAAAGGCCCTGAGTTCAATCCCCAGCACCACAAAATAAACAAATTAATAAATTTTTAAAAAATTAACTCTAGGGCAGAGGGCATGACTGAAGTAGCAAAGTATCTACCTAGCAAGCGCAAGACTCTTGAGTTACGTGGGTTGAGAAGTATATGAGTTTGCATATTGTTACATGAATTTTATAATTAAAAAAATGTTTTAGCTGAGCGCTGATGGCTCACGCCTATAATCCTAGCCACTCAGGAGGCAGAGATCAGGAGAATTAATGTTCAAGGCCAGCCCAGGCAAATAGTTCATGAGACCCTATCTCCAAAAAGTACCCAACGCAGGGCTGGTGGAGTAGCTTAAGTGGTAGAGCAACTGCCTGCCAGGTATGAGGCCCTGAGTCCAAACCCCAGTCCCACCAAAAAAAAAAAAAAAAAGTTTTAAAAACCAAGCACTAAAAGTGATTGGTACAGGTGGTTGGTCAAAGACCAAATGACTTCATTTATTCATCAGTTTCCTGTGTATCTGTTCCCCACAGTTTCTGTGTGCACTGCCTAGAAGGGAAGGTTATGAGTTCTTTGTAGGACAATGGACAGGTACTGAACTTCACTTCACTGCACTCATAAATATTCAGGTAGGTGGCTTGTGCCCTACACAACTGTAGAAGAAAGAAGCCTGCCCTTTGGTGGGACTGGGAGCCCTTGCTACCTTGCTAAGTCTTGGGGGGCACAGAATATCTACTGACTCCCAGCAGGGCTTGCCATGGCATTAATGAATTGTCATACTTTGAATGTTGGGCTAGTTTTCTAGGTCCCACTCAATACCAAGAAATTAGAAGTACCAGGTTTCATTGCTCACGCCTGTAATCCTAGGTACTTGGGTAGCTAAGATTGGAAAGAATGCAGTTTGAGGCCAACCCAGGCAAATAGCTCACAAGACCCCATCTCCAAAATAACCAGAGCAAAATGCACTGGAGTTGTGGCTAAAGTAGTAGAGAACCTGCTTTGCAAGCATGAAGCTTTGAGTCAAACCTCTGTCCCACCAAAAAAAAGAAAAAGATATTAGAAGACCCCAGAATACCTTCTTTGATTACATCTGTTCTCTTTTGTCTCTCTGCAGCCCGTCCTACATGTGCCAGCTTAGAAACATGGCTAAATTAAGTTATTTTTTGTTTGGTTTTGGCTTGGGTTTTGGTTTTTGGCTGTGCTCAGGTTTAAACTCAGGGCCTTGCACTTAAGCCACCACTCTACCACTTGACCCATGCCTTCAGTCTTTTTGTTTTTGTTACTTTTCAGGTAGGGTCTCACTTTTGCCTGAGACCAGTCTCAGATCATGATCCTCCTACCTACAGCCTCTCACATAGCTGGGATCACAGGTGCATGCCACCATTCCTTGTTTCTTGATTGAGATGTGGTCTCACTAGATTTTAGCCCTGGCTTGCTTCAAACTGTGATGCTCCTGATCTCTGCTTTCTGAGTAGCTGAAATTACAGGCATGAGCCACTATACCCTGCCAGGATATTAACACAGCTATAAGCCCATGAAGGAAAACTCCATGTCTTACCTGTGTTTTATTAACCAAGTCAGTACCTTTCAAGATGCTAGATAAATAGTTTCCACTTAATAAATGTTACTCTATTTGCTTGTTTATTTCTTTTTCTAATTCCCAAATACTAGATTAAAAGGTAAGATTCAAGGCATTTGAAGCTTTTAAAATAAAAGTGACCATTTTAAATAATAATAATAACTAGAGTTGATATTCTATATTTTGAGGCCACATCTGGTTAAAAAAAAAAAAAAAAGCATGTATCATTGGCTTTCAAGTTGAAGCAAAGAGGGAACAAAATGAGGGAGCATCTTTACATATTGTTAGTTTATAATTCATCCAACATTTATTGGGTGCATATTTGTAATAATCAGCATTTGATGTACTTATGTTTTATATACATATATAATTTAATCCTCACAAATATGCCACAAAATGGTTACTGTTATTATTTTTATTTACAGAAAAGAAAGTGAGCTTGAAGAAGTTAGTTCACTCAAAGTGATACTGTTGGGTTTGAGTCCAGGTTGTCTGACTCCAGAGTCTCTGAACTTAACCATTATGCTGTTGTGTTGGGAACTGCTGGGACCTGAAGATCTATGAAAGGACCCTGCCCTCATGAACCTCATACCCAAGTATCGGAGAAAGACCCAGAAATATAATTATGATCAAAAAGATTAGTATATATTAGAATCATGATCAAAATGATCAGTTTAATATTAGAAGTATGTTTGAGAAAACTAAAAAGCTGAACTATTAAGAGTCCCTTAGCAAAGTTAAATATGATAATTAAAGGGACTCTTCCTGAAATTCTAGAGATGAAGCCTAGGGATCTGCTTTTTAATGTAGTTGTTTTCCTTTTATCCTATATAAGGGCTTTAGCTTTAAATTCAGCTCTCTTCCTAGTGTAGACTTGAGGTCTAATAATCACTATGCTGACACTCTTCATGAAGCTATGCTGTTTCCATTCTTCTTCCCTGCCCCAACAAGATTATATTTTAAAACTGCACACTGGCCCATGTGCAAACTCTCCTCCTCTTGCTACCACTTAAAAGAGCTCAGTCTTCAGAGTCAGCCAAGGGGAGTAGATTTCAGCTATGAAATGCACTAGTCCATAAAAGTGGCAATCACACAGGCACATTGCTTTCTTTAGAACTTGATTTGGTAACTGCGCATGCCATTTTGTTTTTAAATGTATGGCCACAATGAAGGCCTCACTACCTTCTATAAACATTTTCTGGGAAAAAAGCCAAACCTTTTCCAAGTGAAGACACAAACAACACTGCAAACTGTCAGTTTTACCATGCCTTTGCAGGCCTGACCTTGCTCCCACATACCAGTCCTCCAACTCAGTAGCTACCCAAGGGGCTGTTACGAACCAGAATTTCCTCCATACTCTGTTGCTTTGAAATTGCAGTTTGTTTTGGTGGTACTGTAGTAAGCCTTGATAAGTGTTCCTTCTTGCAGACCCGAGGGGATGCTGCAACCAGCCAACTGATTTTATATCACTATCCTGAACTTAAGGAAGAAAAGGGCATAGTGCTGATGACAGCAGAAATGGATTCCACATTTCTGGTAAGAATCAACATTTACCTCTTTGAATTTACCTACCTGGCTCTGAAGGTATTGCTCATCTGCCAAAGCTCATGAGAGGTCACATTGCAGAGACCTACATGTACTTTGTTTCTTACTTATAAAGTTGAAAATAATTTTGTCTTGCTCATGTTCTTCTAAGCCACGTATTCACAATTCTGAAATCCATGAGCTCTGAAAATAGTTTTTTGTGGGTTTTTTTTTTTTTTTTTTTTGGCAGTGCTGGGGTTTGAACTCAGGGTCTCATGCTTGCTAAGCAGGCACTCTACCACTTGACCATGCCACCAGCCCTGAAAATAGTTTTTTATACTCCTTTGGTCACAAAATCTTTCCTGCCTTAAACTTATTTGGAAGCTAAATCTTGACTTAAACTCATATGAAGCTATGTATGGTCCTTGTTAATTCCACTTGGTATTGGTTATATATTTTATTAGGGAAATATTAAAGTGCTCATTTATGGGGAGTTGCATAGCATACACTTATATATTATTTGCACCTATACTTTTCTATAATAATTCTGAGTCCAAAACACATCTGGCCCTAGAGATTTCAAGTAAGAGGTTGTGGACAAGTAAATGGCTTAAGTATAGAGATAAGCTTAAAGTCTAGAATAGTTCTCAGACTTTTATCCTCCATCACACTTCCTGTGTGTAACTTTCACCATACATACTGACTTCCTTTCCTCCTTTTCCATTCCCAGTTGAGAGACACCAAGGTAAAGCATCACATGCCCATAGTTAATGATTCCCATTGTGTTCTCCCTGTATATCCATATGCCAGGAGTAGTTTTATGAATACAGTATAATCTGTTTGTCTAGTCTTTGCTCATTATGTTTCATTTATCTGACAGAGGTAGTTCAGGATGCTTTCAAAATAGTGGCACTTTAGAGCCTCTTTTCCTCCTGAGATTCTTCATTACAACACCCACTTAATTTTCCTTTCTCTGTTACCAGCTAGGAGAAGGAAGAAGTGATGTCATTTAGCTAGTATCTCCCAAGGCCTAGAACACAATGGGGGAACTGTATGTCCCTATTATTTCAGAAATCATCCAGTACCATTTCTGTCATTTTTTCCTTCCTCTTAAACATTTCCATCCATCATAACTATAAGTCACCCCAAATCCTATCAGAAATATAGTCATTAACCAAGATAAACAAGATTTCAAAAGGAATAATTTTGGGAGGAAAGTCAGGAGACCACTTTTTGACCTATTAATTCTGAGATGCTTATTAGATATCCAAGGATTAGGCAGTTTGATATATGAGCCTATCTGGCAGAGTGGCTCAAGTGGTAGAGTGCCTGCCTAGCAAACATGAAGCCCTGAGTTCAAACCCCAGTACCAACCAAAAAGGAAAAAAAAAAAGAATTATGAGCCTGGTGTTCAGGGGAAAGGTCCAGCTTGAAGATATAAATATGGGAATTTTCAGCACACAGATTGTATTTAAAGCCATAGGACTGAATGAAATTACCAAGGAAATAAGTGAAGACTCTGAAGAGAAAATATCTAAGAATTGAGTCCTGGAGAGATAAAGAAACATCAGCAAAGAAGACTTAGGAACAGTTGTGAGACCAGGGGGAAATTTAGATGGTAGAGTGCCCTGGAAGCTAAGATAAAATGTTCAAAGCAATAGGGAGTGCTCAGCTGTTAAAATCTCACTTGTTTATAGGAAAAATGAGATGAAGATGGAAAACTTCTGATTTTTAAAACTCAGAAGTCTTTGAGAAACTTTTAAAGAGTAGTTTCAAAGGAGTGGTGGAATTACAAGTATATTGGGAGAGATTTAAGACAGGATGAGAAGAGAAATTAAGAAGACTAAGCATTAACATAACTCTTTCAAGAGAAAGAGAGTGGCACATTAGCTGGAGGAAAAAAGTGGAGCCAAGGATGGCTCTTGTTTTAAATATGAGATAAATAATATTTGTATGTTAATCAGAACAATCAAGTTGAGAGAGAAATAATAATACAGGAGAAAGGAAAGAGGAGGGATATTTTTGAGTGGGCAAGTCTGGGACTGAAGGTTTAATCCTTGCCTGGAATGTATTAAAAAAAGAGAAGTCAAGGTAGAAAGACAAAGATGTAGTTAAATGGATAGAGATAGTGGTAGCCTTTAAAAGTCCTTACCAGATTGCTTTATTAAAAGAAAAGCCATCAGCTGAGAGTGAGTATAGAAAAGCAGGTGTTAGATATTTGAGTCAAAAGCAAAAATATTAAATTATTGTCTAGGATGAGTCTACAAACTATCCTACAGGCCAAATCCAACCCACAGACTGATGAATTAAGAATGTTTTCCTCTATCTTTAAATGGTTGGAAGGAAAAAAACTAAAGAAAAGTAATATTTCATTATGTGAAAAATGTATGAAATTCAAAGTTCAGAGTCTATGAAGGAAGTTTTGTTGGAACTTAGCCGTGCTCATTCATTTACATGTGGTTGTTTTTGCTCTGCAGCAGAGTTAAATGGTTGCAACAGAGACTTGTATGGCCCACAAAGCCTAAAATATTTACTGTTTTCAGCAAGTTTTTGCCAATTTATAGTCTAAAAGAATGGAAGAGAGACTTACTGTACAGGTATAGACACCAAGAGTGTCAGATTTAATTAGGGCTATGGTTCAAACAAGTGGTATGATGAAGTAATTGAGGGACCAAGAAGTTAAAGGTGAATTCAAAGGAATTATCATTATTGACCAGAGAATTGAATCTGGATAAAGAGGGAAAAGATACGGGAGGTTAGATACAATAAGAACTATAGGGTTAACAATTGTTGGAGTTGGGAGTAAAAGGTAGGAAATAGTAGGCAATGTATAGATGTTTCAAATTGAGATATGGAGAGGATATAGTTATGGATAATAACAAGGTTTGATTTCTCCATGGAAGCGTGACATAGAGGCTGTCTTCAGCAAAGCACAGCATCTGACTATATTTCAAGTGGGTCCTATAGGTCAGAGGAGGCCCTTTCTGCTTTGTGCCATTTTTACCACTTCACTCTGGTGGTCTCAAACTGGTGCACAGTTCTTCTCATCATTAAAATTTGTTTTCTGGCCTTATAACATTTGACAGAAACCAGGTGGCATTCATTTGTCTTACATAAATCAATTTGAAAGTAAGATTTAGACATGTTAGCATTTGTTGTAGAGGTACATGATATAAAGAAGGAAAACCTAGTATATGTCATATGAACATATGATCCCCTGAATACTCATACATGAGATGTGCACTTTAAACATGGTATTTCCAGCTACAACAAAGCATTAATCTCAAATGAATAGCAATATGTGGAAACTAGGGGATTCTTCTGAACTAACTAACTTTCATCCTGAAAAGTTAGTAGAATATTTAAAAACCTAGCCTTGTTTGACTCCATATCTGTGTCAGTAGATGATTTCAGTATAATGCATTTTGAGCTAGGATTGGGTTTCAGTGAGGTGGGGAATGGGAGCAGGGGAGATGGCCCAGAGGGAGTAAAAGGCTTCCTGGAAGTAGTACCTGGATTGAAAGTTCAAAGACAAGCAATAGTTTGGCCAGATAAAGAAGGAGGCATGAAGCAAGGGGAATGTTTCTTTCTGAGGGAATAGCATAAGTAAATGTTAAGAGGCATAAAATGACTTAGGGTATTGCAGGCAGTTTTGTATCACTGGTATATGAAAAAAGGCTTGGTAAATTGTGTTTAGAGGTTTAGCTTTATCCTAAAGACATGAAAGAGTCATTAAAAGACTTTTACAGCCAGCCACCAATGGCACACATCTATAATCATACCTACTCAGGAGGCAAGAGATCAGGAGGATCGTGGTTCAAGGCCAACCTAGGCAAATAGTTTTTGAGACCCTATCTCAAAATAGCCAACACAAAAAAAGGCTGGCAGAGTGGCTCAAGTGGTAGAGCACCTGCCTAGCAAGCACAAGGCCCTGAATTCAAGCCCCAGTACTACCTAAAAAGAAAAAAGAAAAGATTTTTACAGAGAGTAACCTGTTCAAAAGAATTGGATTTTAAGACCATTAACCTTAACAAATTAATTGTATTCTGTAGTTCTAATCTGTTAGTGTTATTTAAAAGACAGTCACTTAAAAGAAGGGCAAGAGGTGGTAAAGATTTGAACTAGAGCAGTGGAGTGGAGATGAAGGAAAGAATGACCCAGAAATATGGAGAGAATAAAATGGGCAGGCCTTGATAGAGAGATTGTAGATATAAAGATTGAAAGAGAAGAGGAGTTAGGTTTGTTAATATACTTCTTTACTGAGCAACACAGGGAGTTAGTATATTTGTCTTCTTGGATCTGGGAAAGAGAGGCGACTACTGCTTCATGTTAAGTCAAGAGAACAAAAGATGGAGTAAGTAAGGAGGGAGAAGTGCTTTCCATAACCCTCCACACAAGACAGACAGATATGCATCTCTCCCTGTGTCTTACCTCCTTACCCAATGTACTAGTGGCCTTCAAACTCTTTTTTAAGTAGTGGAAGGAACCCTTTACCCAAACAAAACCTTATGTAAAACTCCAGGATATAACAACTAAAACTCAGCTGAAGACCTGAAACACCTCCACAGAGTCACCAGGATACTGCATAAGTTTGGACAGCACTGTTCTGAAGTGAATACACCTGAACTTAGCCCTACTTTCACCACCCAAGCTTCAACTAAAGGTTGATATCAGAGGTCCTACAGCTCCACAGCTCAGAAACTGATGGTATCCATCTCAAATTATGTTAATGCCCTTGCTTTAGGGAAAGTTTGTTCTTGAAACATGTTTGGGTTTAAGAAAGATAAAATTAATAGAGTTGTTGACCTCTGTCAGTCTTAATTACCAGAAACAGTAGCAGGTAAAGTGGAGAACGTACCAGCCCCAGAGTTTTGAAATCTGACATTGACTAGCCACATGACCTTGCACCCATCCCTGAACTTTATCTTCCATGGTTTCCTGGCCTATTAAATGAGAACTGGGTGGTCTTGGAGGCTCCAACTCAAATTCTGTTAATTTAAAGTAGCCAGATTTTGGGGCAAAGACTTCAATTGAAGATCAAGTCTCAGAGATTAGTACCTGCTTATGAGAAGTGACCTAAAACTTCCATGGAAGGAATAGAGGTGAAACACACCCTATGGTATTTATAAACTCATCTTCATCATTCTGTAACTAGACAAAGCACACTTTGGACAGTAGGTTTTTAGTGGGAATTTTCCAGTAACTTTGGGTATTTGATTTTGGCTATATGAACACAGCAATGACAGATAAGTGCTTATAGCTGGCTAGAACTACAAAATGCATACAAAACAGAAGTCAAAGTTGTTCAAGATCTTTCATGAGATTTTGAGGCTATTGCCCATGCCTTCCCCTGCCCACCCCACCATCATCTCCATCAGAGAGTGGTTTGTTCATCATTTCCCTACAGTTCACTGTAGAGAAGGTGATCCTTTCTCTGCCTGGGGATTGCTTATAAATGGTTGCATAACAAATTATTCTAAAACTTTAGTGGTTTGAAAAACAAACATTTATTACCTCACAATTTCTGTGGAGCAAGAACTGAGAGCAGCTTAGCTGGGTGGCTCTGGTTCAGTATCATGGGGTTGCTGTTATTGCCTAGGACTAAAACATCTGAAGGTTGGTTAGGCTTAAGGATCCATTTGCAGCCCTACTCACATGGCTTCTGATAGAGGCCTCATTTCCTCCCACATTGGCTTCTCCATAGAGCTACGCGAATGTTCTCATGATATGGCAGCTGACTTTCCCCAGAACAAGACAGAAGCTACAATTTCTTATGTCTTGGAAGTGGGGTCCTTCCCTCTCATTATATCATTGTTAAAAGCAAGTCATACTGGGGTACTGGTGGCTCACACCTGTAATCCTAGCTACTCAGAAGGCAGAGATCAGGAGGATCAGAATTTGAAGCCAGCCTGGGCAAATAGTTGGTAAGACTCTATCTCAAAAAAAAAAAAAAAAACAGAAAAAAGGACTGGAGTAATGACTTAAGTGGTAGAGCACCTGCTTAGCAAGTATGAGGCCCCAAGTCAAACCCTAGTACCACCAAACATATAAATAAGTCATGGAATTTTTGGACAAATTTTAAAAACATCACACCTAACTTCAGCACTGTTTTTCTGACTGAGATGCTATCAATAACAGTTTTTACTTGGTAGAGCTGGGTAACTCTTGCATTCCTCACCCCACCCCAGAGATATATTTAACAATTATTGAAGAACTGCACAAATAGGGAAATTATGAATGTATTTATTAATTTATTCAGCAGACATTCACCAGCTGTCACTATGTGCAGAGATATAAAACAAGCCATGGTCCATAATCTTTTATGAATTTCTATTAAGAAAGAAAGGCAAAAAAAAAATACAAGTCAGTGTGATACATGCTATATCAATGGTAAACATAGAATGATTTGGTTACACAGAGAAGGGGCACCCAGCCTATGCTTCAGAGGTCAAGGACTCAGGGAAGCTGTCTAGAAGCAGTGACTCCTGGATGAGTCACACCCACCCCAGAATTCAGACACAGAGCTTTGGTCCTGTGCAGTGAGGAACCTCACTATTCTTTTTGCCTTACAGAATGTTCCTGAGGCACAATGCATTGCCAACCAAGTTCAACTCTTCTATGCCACGGATCGGAAAGAGACCTATGGGTTAGTGGAGACCTTTAACCTCAGGCCAAATGAGTTCAAATATATGTCTGTCATTGCTGAATTGGAGCAGAGTGGACTTGGAGCAGGACTGAAATGTGCCCAGAACCAGGATAAGATATAGAGGTGTAAGTGTTGGTCCTTCACAAATTGGCTTAGCCCTGCATAGTCGAGTCTACCTGCCCCCCTTGAACTCCAGAGGTCAGCATCTGTAACAAGCAGCCTGTAATGTGTTGTACTATGTGTTTATTGCAAGAAGCAGTTTTGGAGATGGTCCTAATACTTGATATTCAGAAACAAAGGTACCCAAATATTCTGATAATTACCTCTCAGCATACTTGAGGTTTCCTTTTAAGTGTTTCTGGTCATTTGAGCAAGAAACAGCAGGGATCTACAGGATGGTTGGTTGACTTGATTTTACACATTGTAGCAGTGCAGTTGCATTCTGGCCATTGTGACCTCAGACCTCCCAGGTCTACATCTTTATAAATTTGTAACAGGGTAATAATCCCAAAGACCTTCTTAGTGAAATGTGAGCTTTACATACTCTTTCCAGGCACCAATGAGCTGGCCAAAGCATAATCCAAATATCCTGTTTGACTCTAAAACAATCAGATAGTCCCATCAGGACAAAAACTTCATCTTGCTGCCCCCCAGAGTTCCTTTAGTGTAGCTGCTTTGGGTGTCACCATATTTCAGGTATAGTTGGGTAAGCAGGTATAGTACCTGTACATCGTTAAGCCATAATTTGAAGCACCTGCCCTTCTAATTCTGCCTGTTAGAAGCTGATGAATCAGTGCAGTGTAAATAAAATGTTTTTGTAAGGAGATCATTCCATATTTGCATGATTTTTTAAACAACTCTTAAGCGTTATATGAAAAAGTGGATGGAAACAAATGTTCCCAGATTGAATGTGGGGAAAATGTAGCAATAAAATAAAGTCTGGCTTACAGTCTTTGTTACACAAAGTAGTGAACTCTAAGCTGTGTGCTGTCCGTAGTGTTGGTGCTATGGACTGGTTTTATCAAAACTCATCTTGGAACTCAGCAAGTTCTTGAAATGCCAGAAATAAGAAAGTTGTTCTCTGACCTTAGAAGCCCATGTGTGGTTTGTAGTGTCACTGTCATGGCTCCAAGTTCAGTGATAGAAAGGATGGTGGTTATATATCAGCCTTCTGAACTTGAGGCCCCAGATCCCTCCTAGGATTGTTGTTGACTGTCTGTACTGTGCCTTTTGTTTTC